TTCGCATTCCGGTACGAGGGTGAGGGGCGACGCCGAGGAGAACCGCGCCCCCTGTGCGCCGCTGCACTGCCTCCCGCAGCACCGCGGCTGCTTGACTCCGCGCGCTGCTGCGCGACGGGCTGGACCGGCGCAGACGCATGAGCGGCCGGGTGCGCGGAGTCATGGGCGGCGCCCGCCGCCGTCCCCTGCGCAAGGACACCAGCAGCAGCTTGGACAAGTGGCAACGCCGCAGGCGGCTGCGGCGCAACAGGAGCGGGAGCACCGGGGGCGAGAACACCGAGAGGAAGTGGTTGGCTTGGCGGGGGACAGGGGCCGTCGGCGGCGCAACAGCAGCGGGGGGAACCGGGGGAGCAGTTGGAGCAGCGGGAGCCTGAGCGGCAGGGGCAACAGGAGCCGGGGGTGGAGCAAGCACGCTCTCAGCGGTGTGCCCTTGGTCCACCACCGACCTCGCCGCTTCTGTCACCATCGCGGCGAACGCGTCGGCAGCAGGCATTGGAGGACGCACGACCGCGTCAGAACACGGGGGAAGGAAACCGAGGAGGCCCACTGCTGGCCGCGGCCAGCGCGCGGATGAGAGGAGGACGTGCCGGAGGTCGTGGGTGTGGCAGAGGTGCACGTGAAGGTGGCCCGGAGAACGCGTTCCAGGCGGCTGCAAGGCGGGCTTTAAATACGTTGGGAGAAGCTAATGAAGTTGATGCTATTTCGGGGAGTATTTATGAGGCGGAGGATGATGGCGCAGACTCAAGTTCGGATGAGGCTGACTCACAAATTCCTGCTCGGCAGAGGACGATCGCAACCCACGCTCGAAGCGCGACATCCAATTTCCACATTACACCCACCCAGCCGCGACCCTCTCCACAGCGTCGAACCACCCCTGCCAACCCCGCCACCACTGCCAACCAGCCCGCCAATCCAAACCTGACATCGGCACCTGGCATTGCACCACGAACGGTGGCGAGGGGTAACCAGCTGCAGACACAACCGCCCCCCCAAAAATCGCCAGAGGCACTCGCTAGGGATGACACGCTTTTCGCAAGCGTCAATGACTGGAACCTGGATTTGCTTCGCGACAGTCGCAACTCACCTCTGGCACGTCGCCTGCCAGAAAAACTCCGCCTTCTTTTCGCAATGGTTATTCTGACGCCACTGCTGCGGCTCGCCCGTGACCCTGACTCCACCCAAGCCTGGACTGTGCTGCTGTTTGCCGCTCGCCTGACGCTGCGTCAGCACTCACCGAAGCACCCTGATTGGAAGGCGGCCAAAAACCGATTGCGCAAATTCCTGCGAGGGGAGTGGGATTCGCTGTACCAGGAGACAGACTCGCTCGATCTCCCTCCCCCCCCAAGGCATCAGCCAGATAACCTTGGGAGAATCTCCAGAGCTGAAGGACTAGCGCGACGTGGCAGTCTGAGGAGGGCTGTTATGGCACTTGAAGCCACGCCAGTCAGCAAGCCATCCCCTGAGGTTCTGGAATCCCTGCGCGCCAAACACCCAAGCGCCCAGCGCCCTGGCACTCCGTGGCCCCAACCCGAACCAGACTCTTACCTGTCTGTGTCACGGGAAGTCTTCCTGAAGCTACTCTCGAAATGTGAGAATGGGGTAGGGGCGGGCCCTTCAGGCATGACATTCGAGCACCTGCGTGAGGCAGCCCTGATGCACACTGAAGTCAGCACCCACTTACACGCACTAGTCAACACCATCTTGCGCGGAGAGCTGGGCGCGGAGGTAGGGCAGCTCCTCACTGCATCTCGGCTGATAGCCCTGGATAAGCCTGACGGAGGAACCAGGCCGATTGCCATAGGCGAGTGTATCCTCCGATTAGCAGCAAAGGCCGCGCTTTCCCAGCTAGCAGAAGCCGCGCGAGAGTTCTTCTTACCTTTGCAATTTGGCGTGGCTGTCCCTGGAGGAGCTGAAGCGGTCATTCACGTCGTACGAACCTTCACCGCGGCCAACAAGAACGCGCTGGTCCTACAGGCTGACTTGGCGAACGCCTTCAATAGTGTCGACCGCCACGCCATAGTGTCAGCCCTGAAAAGCTCGAAGCTTGAACCGCTGCTGCCACTGGTACACTTCTCCTACGGCCAGCCGTCCACGCTGCACCTGGACGCGGCCTTCAACCACCCGCCCCTGCTCAGCGAGACGGGGGTCCGCCAGGGGGATCCCCTCGGCCCCCTTCTCTTTGCTGCAGCCATGCACCCAGCCCTGAAGGCGGCCGCGGAGGCACATCCGGACGTCATCTGCCTTGCCTATGCGGACGATGTCACCTTCTTGGGAGAACCGTCGTCGTGTGCAGCTGCGTTTAACAACTTCACGAGCCGCCTAGCAGAAATCGGGCTGAGACACAACCCTGCAAAGTGCGGGGCATGGTCAGATGGGCCGCCCACAGATGTACACCTACCTGAAGGAGTTCCCCCAAGCCATGACGGCTTGAAGGTGTTGGGAAGCTACATCGGCACCAACACGGCTACATCAGCCTTTGTGCGGTCCAGTCTGGAGGCAATGGGAGCACCTCTGGGGTTGATTGAGCACATGGAGCCTCAACTAGCGGGGCTGCTGTTATCTCGGTGCATCTCGCGCCGAGTGTCTTACCTAGCCCGCACGACGCCGCTGCCATCCCTGCCCAAGGAGGAGTGGTCCGAATGGGGAAGGAGGCTGCTGGAAACGCTCCTGACGGCATGCGGCATCATTCACCCGCGCGGGGAAGAAACTTCACGCACGTGGGCGCAAGCCTCTCTCCCCGTGTCGTTGGGAGGGCTCGGGCTGACCGACCCCACCGTGGAAGGAGGCTACAGCTTCCTCGCCAGCTACACGCAGGCGCAGCTGCTGCTCGACTCCCTTGATGGCGAGTGCAACGGCCCACTGGAAGCTACACGAGAGCTGATGCGCGGCCCCTACACGCGGTCCTCCCCTTTGACCGAATGGCTAGCGGATTGCGAGGAGGAGCTTCCCTTGCCAGCACAAGAGGCCCTGCAAGCTGAAAGAATAGCTCCAACCGCGGGAAAGCTGCAGCACGGCCTGGCCACGGCTGTCCAGGGCCAGCGCTATGCCGTGCAGGTGGAGGAGACGCGGGGGATGAGGCCAAACCCCAACCACGGTCACACGCAGCGGCTGCTGTCCCTGTCAGGGTACGGGGCTGGGGACTGGTTAAACGCCGTGCCCCTCCACTCCTCGCTACGCCTTGAGGCTCCCCACTATGCCAACGCGGTCCAGCTTCGGCTGGGCCTCCCCTTCGCGGCTCCGGGGGTTTGCAACTGCTCAAAGAAGGTGAAGATCCCAGATAAACGATTACCGAACCACCTGCTACGCTGCGGCACGGGGGGGGGACGCACAAACACACACAATGAGTTAAGAGACGAGTGTGCACGGATGGCGCGTGATGCCGGATTCATGGTGCACATAGAAACGGCTGCCTTCAGCCCTGTGGAGGAGAAGAAGGCCGATTTGGCCTTACGATGCCGCTCCACCGGCGCCGTCTACATCTGTGATGTGACGGTGACGGACCCCATCAGCACCCGCGACGAGAATGCATCTAAGGGGCGGGGATGGGCAGCACGAGAAGCTGCAGACAAGAAGCACGGCTTGTACACGGACCGCCCAGAGTGGGTGAAGTTCTTCCCACTAGCGGTCGAGACGTATGGGTGCCCATGCCCAGAGACAGTGGATTTCCTGAAACTGCTCGCGGAAAGAGCTGCAAGGCGGTTCTTTAACGCCGAGCCCACCTCCTACCAAGCTGCCAAGCTTTTACACCAATACCGGCAGCGGTGGTCGGTGGCTCTTCAAAGGGGGCAGTCGATTGGCTACCTGGAAAAGTGCAGCATAGCGGCTGCCGTAGAATACCCACTGCTAGAGCCAGTGGGGGAGGCCCCGTCCCTAGGGGACTGCCTCTTGGTCCTGGATCCCGCTCTGGACCTAGCTTAAGGGGGGGGGGGGGGGGGGGGTAGAGCCGATGTGTGCGTAGTTTGAGGGATATGCATCAGACATCCGCCCGTTTTCACCTTGCATGCCTGTATGATCTTGTATCAATCAATGAAAGGGCCATTCGAGAGAGAGAGAGAGGGAGTCTAATTGCAGAAAGGCAACTCTTGATTGATTTGAGGTAACCCACGCTCAGCCTGCTGTACTGGACTGGCTTGACAACCTGTTCGCCACGGAGCCCAATAGCAAGGTGCGTGGGGTGGGGCGGGGGAGAGGCGAGAGAGGAAGAGGAGAGGCTTCAAATGCATGATGTGTCGATTTTTTAGTCGACTCAAGCCTACTGCACGCACGCACGCAGCTCACTGAGACATGTCTGAACCTCGCGAGGAAGAGAGGTTTCAAATGCATGATGTGTGCGTGCGCGAGTCAACTCAAAACACACCACACTCGTCTGCTGTGTTGGCTGTTCAATTCAAGCTCCTCGCTTTGCTACAGGGAAGAGGTGCAAGGGAGAGGGGCAGGGGAGAGGGGCAGGGGAGAGGGGCAGGGGAGAGGGGCAGGGGAGAGGGGCAGGGGAGAGGGGCAGGGGAGAGTTTGATCATGATGGACGATGTGTGGGTGGGTGGGTGGTTATGTGTGGGTAGGTGCTTGCATCAGATCGCATGCTCTTGACTCCACAGCCTCCGTATTTCAACAAGGCAATAGCATTGCTCCAGTGCTTGTTACCCTTCCCCACCACGTGAAACCTCTCTCAACCCCTCGTTTCACTCCACCCTCCAGGCACTCACGCTGCTGGCGATCTGCATGCTGCTGTCTGCAGTGGGCGGCGTGCTGTACAAGGCAGCAGCCGTGTTCAATACCCTTTCTTTCCCACCTCTTCGAACCCCTTTCCACTCCTTACCTAATCTATCCCACAGGCCCTCACACTCCTGGCGATCTGCATGCTGCTGACAGCAGTGGGCGGGGTGCTCTACAAGGCAGCAGCTGCGGAGCTCTAGTGTTCTGTACCGATTTTTACCTCTTTACACCCCTCCCAACCCCTTGTTTTCTCACTCCTCCAGGCCCTCACACTGCTGGCGATCTGTATGCTGCTGACAGCAGTGGGCGGGGTGCTGTACAAGGCAGCAGCCGTGGCGTCCAATGACGACTTGCCACTTGGCGAGTCTGTGTGGGTGTCGTGGACGTTTGTGTCCAACCCCAGTGAACACGTCAATGAGGTGAGTGAGAGATGCAGCTAGTGTAAATGTGTTTGGTGACTATTATAAAATGGCTGAAACCTTTTGAAACATTGTTACAGGACGTACACACGTGTGTGGAACAGTGGAAGAGTAGCTTGTGCAGAATTGACTGTGTGCGGGAAAAAATAAATAAATAAATAAATAAATAAATAATGTTTTTTTTTTTTTTTCTTGTCTACTGCTTCTCTAATGGTTTCCTCATGTCCCCCCTCTTTTCTTCTCACCCACTCACCCCCTTCTCAATGCCCCTGCCACCCTACCCTACCCCCGTCTGCCAATCCCACACACACTATTGCACTTTCAACCTGCCTCCCTCCATTTTTCCCTCTCTCTCCCCCGTTTCTCCCCACCCCTTCCCACCCCTCCCCCCCTCTTCGAACACCACAGACCACGGCCTGGAGCGTGTGGCGAGCGCAGTAGTGATGGTGGGGGGAGGGAGTGCTCTTTTTTCCACCTTCCCCCCCCCCCCTTGCCCGATGCCCTCTCCCTCGTCGCCACATCCCCCTTAACACCTCAGGCCTCGGGTGCGAAGCGTGTGGTGAGCGCAGTGGTGTCGGTGGGTGGAATGCTTTACTTTGCGTTGCTGGTGGGTCTGGCAACGGATCTAGTGGCGAGCAAGGTGGACCAGCTGGAGCAGGGCCATGGGGCCGTCATAGAGAGCAACCACACGCTTGTGTGCGGTGAGTCAGACGATGCACAAGGTGATTTAGTGTAGGCACTGGGACTTGCTGAATACGAAGAGGGGGTGGTCTGGCTGGCAGCGGACCTGGTGGCGAGCAAGGTGGACCAGCTGGAGCAGGGCCATGGGGCGGTCATAGAGAGCAACCACACCCTTGTGTGCGGTGAGCAACCACACCCTTGTGTGCGGCGAGCAACCACACCCTTGTGTGCGGTGAGCAACCACACCCTTGTGTGCGGTGAGTCAGACAAGGACAAATGCATGTGTGTAGTCGAGTGCATAGATAGATGTAGCCACTAGGACGTGCTAATTTTGAGAAGTGGGTGGGTCTGGCAACGGACCTGGTGGCGAGCAAGGTGGATCAGCTGGCTGCAGGGCAGCGGGACCATCATAGAGAGCAACCACACCCTTGTGTGCGGTGAGTGAATGATTGTATATGTGTAGGAAGGTAGAAGGATGTGTAAGTGTAGGCACTGGGACTTGCTGAGCACGAAGAGGGGGTCTGGCTGCTGGCAACGGGCCTGGTGGCAACCAAGGTGGACCAGCTGGAGCAGGGCAGCGGGACCGTCATAGAGAGCAACCACACGCTCGTATGCGGTGAGTCAGACGATACACAAGGTGATTTAGTGTAGGCACTGGGACTTGCTGAGCACGAAGAGGGGTCTGGCTGGCAACGGACCTGGTGGCGAGCAAGGTGGATCAGCTGGAGCGGGGCAACGGGGCGTTTATAGAGAGCAACCACATGCGTGTGTGCGGGGCGGTGAGTCAATGAATGTATATGTAGAGGGATGTATTAGTGTAGTGTAGCTATTAGTGTAGTGCAGCTGACCATGAAGAGAGGGTGTAGTATAGTGTAGCCATGGATAGACCTGGTGGCCAGGTCAGCCAGGGTCACGTCTGGTCCTCTCTGCTCCCATCTGAGCTCACACCTGTTCCCTCACACTCTGAAGAGAGGGTGTAGTGTAGCCATGGACCTGGTGGCCAGGCCAGCAAGAGTGAGTCACCTCTGGTCCTCTCGGCTCCCCTCTTTTGAGTCGACTCAAAGGTCAACCTGGTGGCCGGGCCAGCAAGAGTCACGTCTGGTCCTCTCTGCTCCCCTCTGAGCTCACACCTGTTGTTCCCTCCCAACCGAACACCAGGCTGGACCCCAAAAACCATTCCCCTGGTGAAGGCGCTGGTGGAAGCAGGGGAGCGCTTGAGTCGGCCCTGTCTCTCCTCGTTGCTCCGTGTTTCTAAACCCTCCTCCCCTCCTACTGCTGTCCTGACTGCCCAGGCTGGACCCCAAAAACCATTCCTCTGGTGAAGGCGCTGGTGGAAGCAGGGGAGCGCTTGAGTCGGCCCTGTCTCTCCTCGTTGCTCCGTGTTTCTAAACCCTCCTCCCCTCCTACTGCTGTCCTGACTGCCCAGGCTGGACCCCAAAAACCATTCCCCTGGTGAAGGCGCTGGTGGAAGCAGGGGAGCGCTTGAGTCGGCCCTGTCTCTCCTCGTTGCTCCGTGTTTCTAAACCCTCCTCCCCTCCTACTGCTGTCCTGACTGCCCAGGGTGGACCCCAAAAACCATTCCCCTGGTGAAGGCGCTGGTGGAAGCAGGGGAGCGCTTGAGTCGGCCCTGTCTCTCCTCGTTGCTCCGTGTTACTAAACCCTCCTCCCCTCCTACTGCTGTCCTGACTGCCCAGGCTGGACCCCAAAAACCATTCCCCTGGTGAAGGCGCTGGTGGAAGCAGGGGAGCGCTTGAGTCGGCCCTGTCTCTCCTCGTTGCTCCGTGTTTCTAAACCCTCCTCCCCTCCTACTGCTGTCCTGACTGCCCAGGCTGGACCCCAAAAACCATTCCCCTGGTGAAGGCGCTGGTGGAAGCAGGGGAGCGCTTGAGTCGGCCCTGTCTCTCCTCGTTGCTCCGTGTTACTAAACCCTCCTCCCCTCCTACTGCTGTCCTGACTGCCCAGGCTGGACCCCAAAAACCATTCCCCTGGTGAAGGCGCTGGTGGAAGCAGGGGAGCGCTTGAGTCGGCCCTGTCTCTCCTCGTTGCTCCGTGTTACTAAACCCTCCTCCCCTCCTACTGCTGTCCTGACTGCCCAGGCTGGACCCCAAAAACCATTCCCCTGGTGAAGGCGCTGGTGGAAGCAGGGGAGCGCTTGAGTCGGCCCTGTCTCTCCTCGTTGCTCCGTGTTACTAAACCCTCCTCCCCTCCTACTGCTGTCCTGACTGCCCAGGCTGGACCCCAAAAACCATTCCCCTGGTGAAGGCGCTGGTGGAAGCAGGGGAGCGCTTGAGTCGGCCGTGTCTCTCCTCGTTGCTCCGTGTTACTAAACCCTCCTCCCCTCCTACTGCTGTCCTGACTGCCCAGGCTGGACCCCAAAAACCATTCCCCTGGTGAAGGCGCTGGTGGAAGCAGGGGAGCGCTTGAGTCGGCCCTGTCTCTCCTCGTTGCTCCGTGTTTCTAAACCCTCCTCCCCTCCTACTGCTGTCCTGACTGCCCAGGCTGGACCCCAAAAACCATTCCCCTGGTGAAGGCGCTGGTGGAAGCAGGGGAGCGGCCGTCAGTGGTGGTTCTGGCGGAGAGGGAGAGTGTGGAGATGGATGGAGAGCTGCTGGAGGCTGTACCGGTTGGAGATCGAGGAGGAATGAGGGTGAGTGAGGGAGTGAGGGAGTGAGTGAGTGAGTGAGTGAGTGATTTACGGAACGAGGGGATGAGACAAAACGAGAAATTGAAAAGAGAGGCCGTCAGTGGTGGTGGTGGCGGGGAGGGGGAGTGTGGAGATGGATGGAGAATTGCTGGAGGTTGTACCGGTTGAAGAGCGAGGAGGGATGAGCGTGAGTGAGTGAGGGAGTGAGTGAGGGAGTGAGTGAGGGCTAGAGTGAGGAATGTAGGCAGTGAGTGAGTGGGGGAGGGAGTGAGTGGGTCAAGGAGTGAGGGGGCAGGTGTTTGAAGAAGTGTTTTGAGACGTCTCAAAACACTTCTTCAAACACGTGGGTCAAGGAGTGAGGGGGCAGGTGTTTGAAGAAGTGTTTTGAGACGTCTCAAAACACTTCTTCAAACACGTGGGTCAAGGAGTGAGGGAGCAGGTGTTTGAAGAAGTGTTTTGAGACGTCTCAAAACACTTCTTCAAACACGTGGGTCAAGGAGTGAGGGGGCAGGTGTTTGAAGAAGTGTTTTGAGACGTCTCAAAACACTTCTTCAAACACGTGGGTCAAGGAGTGAGGGGGCAGGTGTTTGAAGAAGTGTTTTGAGACGTCTCAAAACACTTCTTCAAACACGTGGGTCAAGGAGTGAGGGGGCAGGTGTTTGAAGAAGTGTTTTGAGACGTCTCAAAACACTTCTTCAAACACGTGGGTCAAGGAGTGAGGGGGCAGGTGTTTGAAGAAGTGTTTTGAGACGTCTCAAAACACTTCTTCAAACACGTGGGTCAAGGAGTGAGGGGGCAGGTGTTTGAAGAAGTGTTTTGAGACGTCTCAAAACACTTCTTCAAACACGTGGGTCAAGGAGTGAGGGGGCAGGCGTTTGAAGAAGTGTTTTGAGACGTCTCAAAACACTTCTTCAAACACGTGGGTCAAGGAGTGAGGGGGCAGGCGTTTGAAGAAGTGTTTTGAGACGTCTCAAAACACTTCTTCAAACACGTGGGTCAAGGAGTGAGGGGGCAGGCGTTTGAAGAAGTGTTTTGAGACGTCTTAAAACACTTCTTCAAACACGTGGGTCAAGGAGTGAGGGGGCAGGCGTTTGAAGAAGTGTTTTGAGACGTCTCAAAACACTTCTTCAAACACGTGGGTCAAGGAGTGAGGGGGCAGGTGTTTGAAGAAGTGTTTTGAGACGTCTCAAAACACTTCTTCAAACACGTGGGTCAAGGAGTGAGGGGGCAGGTGTTTGAAGAAGTGTTTTGAGACGTCTCAAAACACTTCTTCAAACACGTGGGTCAAGGAGTGAGGGGGCAGGTGTTTGAAGAAGTGTTTTGAGACGTCTCAAAACACTTCTTCAAACACGTGGGTCAAGGAGTGAGGGGGCAGGTGTTTGAAGAAGTGTTTTGAGACGTCTCAAAACACTTCTTCAAACACGTGGGTCAAGGAGTGAGGGGGCAGGTGTTTGAAGAAGTGTTTTGAGACGTCTCAAAACACTTCTTCAAACACGTGGGTCAAGGAGTGAGGGGGCAGGTGTTTGAAGAAGTGTTTTGAGACGTCTCAAAACACTTCTTCAAACACGTGGGTCAAGGAGTGAGGGGGCAGGTGTTTGAAGAAGTGTTTTGAGACGTCTCAAAACACTTCTTCAAACACGTGGGTCAAGGAGTGAGGGGGCAGGCGTTTGAAGAAGTGTTTTGAGACGTCTCAAAACACTTCTTCAAACACGTGGGTCAAGGAGTGAGGGGGCAGGCGTTTGAAGAAGTGTTTTGAGACGTCTCAAAACACTTCTTCAAACACGTGGGTCAAGGAGTGAGGGGGCAGGCGTTTGAAGAAGTGTTTTGAGACGTCTTAAAACACTTCTTCAAACACGTGGGTCAAGGAGTGAGGGGGCAGGCGTTTGAAGAAGTGTTTTGAGACGTCTCAAAACACTTCTTCAAACACGTGGGTCAAGGAGTGAGGGGGCAGGTGTTTGAAGAAGTGTTTTGAGACGTCTCAAAACACTTCTTCAAACACGTGGGTCAAGGAGTGAGGGGGCAGGTGTTTGAAGAAGTGTTTTGAGACGTCTCAAAACACTTCTTCAAACACGTGGGTCAAGGAGTGAGGGGGCAGGTGTTTGAAGAAGTGTTTTGAGACGTCTCAAAACACTTCTTCAAACACGTGGGTCAAGGAGTGAGGGGGCAGGTGTTTGAAGAAGTGTTTTGAGACGTCTCAAAACACTTCTTCAAACACGTGGGTCAAGGAGTGAGTGGGTCAAGGAGTGGGGGAAGGAGTGAGTGGGGGCAGGGAGTGAGTGGGGGAGGGAGTGAGAGTGAAAGGGGAGCGGACGTCTTAAGAGAGTGAAAGGTGGGGGTCTCAAGAGAGCAACAGAGGCTGCCTGGTAGCCGGCCGATCTCAACTGCTGCTCCCCCTCCCAGGCAGCCTCTGTTGCCTTTGAGTCTACTCAAAAGTCACGTCGACTTGAAAGTCTCTTTTTGAGTCGACTCAAAAGTCTCTTTTTGAGTCGACTCAAAAACGCCTGGTTGCCGATGTCAACCGCTGCTCCACCTCTCAGGCAGCTTCTGTTGCTCTCTTGGCCTCTACCTCTTCTCACCCCCCTCCACACCTTGTCTGTCCCTTTCCACCTCCCCTCACTCTTCTCATCAGGTGATGACTCGTCGCGGTGACCCCCTCAAAGCAGCAGATCTCAACCGCTGCTCCGCCTCCCGAGCAGCCTCTGTTGCTCTCTTGGTCTCGATCTCTTCTCTCTCCCCATCTTCCTTGCTTCTCCCTCCACCTCATCAGGTCATGACTCGCCGCGGTGACCCCCTCAAAGCAGCCGATCTCACCCGCTGCTCCTCCCCCTCCCGGGCAGCCTCTGTTGCTCTCTTGGTCTCGATCTCTTCTCTCTCCCCATCTTCCTTGCTTCTCCCTCCACCTCATCAGGTGATGACTCGCCGCGGTGACCCCCTCAAAGCAGCCGATCTCAACCGCTGCTCCGCATCCCGGGCGGCCTCCATCGTCATCCTCTCGCCCCAGCTGCCCTCCCGCCAGCAGGCAGACGCTCAGGTGAAAGCAACAGACGCTCAGGTTCAAACAGCAGGGGCTCAGGGGAAATCAACATATGCTCAGTCAGGTGCACACATCAGGCAGGCATGCAAGTGACAAGATAGGGTTTAGGCAAAGCATGGAACAGGAAAACTCTGCAGGGGTGGACTGGACTCGGATTCGAATGAGTGATTTGACTGAGTGAGGGATGGACATCTGGTAAGTAAAACCATCCCACCCTTGCATGCATGCAGATGAAATCCCTCCCACCTCACCCCACCCCTCCCTTTTCTTCCCCATCGCATCCCACCCACCCCACCATCACTTTCTGAGGCGTCTGGTTGCTCGATTCGATCATTGCATAGCATTCTCGTTTCCACCGCCACTTTCTCAGAAGCTGCTTTTCCCGTCGGGAGAATCGGTGCTGCTCAATGCTCTTTTGAGACGTCTCAATGGTGATTGCTCCCTCCCTTATTGCCCTTTCGTATTCCCTGCTCTGCTGCTCAATTCAATGCTCTCTCATTTCTCCTTGCTCCACGTCACCACCAGGTGCTTCAAATTCAAACCGCCATGGCTCTGGCTGCCGGTCTTCCCTCAAGTCCAAGGCGACGTGGTTGCTGAGCTTTGAGACGCCTCAAAGCTTGAAGTCTTTTGTAATCCCTGCTGCTCCGTGTTTCCGTGTCCCACATTCCATGTTGAATGCTGCTCCATGTTCCATGTTCCTTGCTCCGTGCTCCATGTCACACTCACCAGGTGCTGCAAACCGCCATGGCACTGGCGGTGCTTCCTGAAATCCAGGGTGACGTGGTTGCTGAGCTGGCATGCCCCGAGAACACGATGCTGCTGGGGAAGCTGCACGCGAGTCTCATGAAGCGACTGGATAGGGCCAGGCAGCAGCACATGCTGGGGTGAGTGAGTGGTTTGACTTGAGTTGGGGTGAGCAGAGCAGATGCTGGGTCATCATCAGTCATCATCACCTAATAACATCTCCACTTTCTCGACACTCCAACTTTATTGAAATCACATTTGAGAATTCTCAAAAGTGATGTCAATATTTGGGGTGAGCAGAGCAGATGCTGGGTCATCACTCATCATCACTCATCATCACTCATCATCACTCATCATCACTCATCATCACTCATCATCACTCATCATCACTCATCATCACTCATCATCACCTAGTAACACCTCCACTCACTCGACACTACCCCGTTCACATCCCCATCCCCATCCCCATCCCCATCCCCATCCCCATCCCCATCCCCATCCCCATCCCCATCCCCATCCCCATCCCCATCCCCATCCCCATCCCCATCCCCATCCCCATCCCCATCCCCATCCCCATCCCCATCCCCATCCCCATCCCCATCCCCATCCCCATCCCCATCCCCATCCCCATCCCCATCCCCATCCCCATCCCCATCCCCATCCCCATCCCCATCCCCATCCCTCTTCAGGTCATCAACCGAGGCTGCTCGCCTTGTCACCCATGCCGGAACAGCAGCCACTGCCATCACCACCACCATACCATCTCCCTCCGCTGCTACTGCCAGCACTGCCACTGATGCCACTGGTTCTAATGGTACTGCTGGTATTGGTATTGCCACAAGCACAACAATCCCTACAGGTGCTGCCTCCGCTACCACCGGCCACGCCACGCCGGCCAGGACCGCCACGCGTGGTTTGTCCTCTTCTGCGGGGCAGAGGCGGCGCAAGCTGGTGCCTGTGGAGACGGGCGGCATGGCTCTGAGACGGCTGGTGGATCTGGCACTACAGCCGGCCGGCAGTGCTGTAGCGGCTGAGCTGCTGCGATTCAAGGGGGCGGAGTTTCACTTCAAGGAATGGTGAGAAATGGGAACTGGTATGCTACAGCCGGCATGGCTCTGAGACGGCTGGTGGATCTGGCGCTACAGCCAGCTGGGGAGTGCTGTAGTGGCTGAGCTGCTGCGATTCAAGGGGGCAGAGTTCCACTTCAAAGAATGGTAAGGATGGTGTGATTGGTGACTTGAGGACCTTGTGCTACAGCTTGCTTAGCGCTACAGCCGGCCGGCTCTGCTGTAGCTGCGGAACTGCTGCGATTCAAGGGAGCCGAGTTCCACTGCAAGGGAATTGTGAGAAATGGTGAGGAATGGTGAGGAATGGTGAGGAATGGTGAGGTATGGTGAGGTATGGTGAGGTATGGTGAGTTATGGTGAGGAATGGTGAATTCTGGCCCTTGCGTTACAGCCAGCCCGGCGCTACAGCCGGCTGGCTCTGTTATGACAACTAAATCATTGCGATTCAAGGGAGCCGAGTTTCACTTCAAGGAATGGTACGGATGGAATGGTGCAGCAGATGCTTGGCTGGTGGGATGGCTGGTGGGATAACTGGTTGGTCTCCCTCCCTCTCATCACCCTCTCTTCGTACAGGAAGGAGCTTGAGGGGCGCACGTTTGCAGAGGCGGTGTTCATGGTTGAAGACGCCGTGCTGTGTGGGGTGCAGCAGATGGTGGGGTGGTTGGATGGCATTACTGGACCTCCCACTCCCCCTCACAGCCAACCACCGTGCAGCACCCATCTCTTCCCTGCCATGTGCGCTCGTGTTTCCAACTCCCTGCAGGGCGAAGCTTGAGGGCCGTACTTTTGCAAAGGCGGTGTTTATGTTTGAAGATGCCGTGCCGAGTGGAATGCAGCACAGGTCTCCCTCCCCTTCCCCCCCTTCCCATTACCCCCCTTCTCAACAGGAAGGAGCTTGAGGGGCGCACGTTGGCAGAGGCAGTGTTTATGTTAGAGGATGCTGTGCTGTGCCGTGTGCAGCAGATGGTGGGGTGGGGTGGTTGGTCGGTTGGTTGGCATGGCAGCACACGACCTCCCACTTCCCCCAATTGAACCCTTTGCCTCTGCTCTCTTCGCCCTACAGGAAGGAGCTTGAGGGGCGTACGTTTGCCGAGGCTGTGTTTATGTTTGAGGATGCTGTGCCATGTGGCGTGCAGCAGTTGGTGGGCACGGAGGACGAGAGGACTCTCATCAACCCTCCTGGTGACACCGTGATTGAGGTGAGTGTGATTGTATTGGGGGCAGAGTGACTATGACGGGAGTGTGCCGTGTGGTGTGCAGCAGATGGTGCCGTGTGTATTGGAGGACGAGGGGACGCTCATTAACCCTCGGTGACACCGTGATTGAGGTATGGGAGTGAGTGTGAGTGTGAGAGAGTGAGACTGGATGATGGAAGAGAGATGGAGGGGAGCGTGCCGTGCGGGGTGCAGCAGATGTGGGGACGGAGGATGAGAGGACACTCATCAACCTGCATGGGGATACCGTGTGATTGAGGTGAGCATGTTGATTGAAGATAGGTGGTGTGATTTCAGTGAGAGTTTCAGTGAGAGTTTCAGTGAGAGTTTCAGTGAGTTTCAGTGAGAGTTTCAGTGAGAGTTTCAGTGAGAGTTTCAGTGAGAGTTTCAGTGAGTTTCAGTGAGAGTTTCAGTGAGAGTTTCAGTGAGAGTTTCAGTGAGAGTTTCAGTGAGTTTCAGGTGAGCATATAGATTTTGAGGTGGTGTGAGTTTCAGGACCTGGCTGGGTTGATAGTGATACGTTGCAGATTCTGCATGTCGTGTTATGTTGATGACTCAGTTAATATTATATGTTCTTATTCCCCAATCTCTTTTATTTGTCCCTTTCCTCGCTTCTGTGCAGTGGAGTTACCGTTTTCTGAGAATTCTCAAAAAATCACTATTTTTTCCCTCCCTTATCACCTTCCGTTTCCTCACCTCTCGCCCACGGGCCACGCCACATCAGCCCGGGGACCGTCTGCTGGTCATCGCTGAGTCAGCAGGCAGCTACGCGCCACGTAGGCCGACCGCTGAGTCAGCAAAGGAGCGCGAGCTGGCGGAGAAGCGGCTGGCGTCGTTTGCGACGCCGTGGCACTACGACAGCCTGCCACGTGGCAACGTGCGGCGCCGCCACAACGTGCTGATTGCGGGCGAATGGAGGGATGACGTGGCAGAGGCCCTCCTTCTACTCGGTGCCAAGCTGGCTCCCCGTGAGTTTCAACTTTCAGTACAGTCACACTGTGCGAACTTAATCATGTTTTCTCATTCATTCTGTAATAAATACAGCAGTGTATCTAGATACAGGAGACAAGGAGACAGCAGCCAGCACTCAACCCCTCTATCAAGTCCGACAGCCTCAACCTCAACCTGTCTCAGTCTCATGCATCTCCTCTCTCTCCCCTTCCCCACTCCCTTCCTCTCTCTCTCTCGCCACCAAGCAGGCATTCAGGTGGCTTCGGTACTGGTCGACTCCCCTTCCCTCTCCCCCTCCCCTTGCACTCACCTTTTCCCATCATCTCGTGCTTCCCTTCCCGTCCACACTCCCTCCCCTCTCTTCCCTCTCTCCACCGAGCAGGCAGTCAGGTGGCAGTCATGGTCGACTCTCCATCCCTCTCCCCATTCCACACGGCTTGTCCCATCATCTTGTGATTTGCTTCCCGTCCACACTCCCTCCCCTCTCTTCCCTCTCTCCACCGAGCAGGCAGTCAGGTGGCAGTAATGGTCGACTCTCCATCCCTCTCCCCATTCCACACGCCTTGTCCCATCATCTTGTGATTTGCTTCCCGTCCACACTCCCTCCCCTCTCTTCCCTCTCTCCACCGAGCAGGCAGTCAGGTGGCAGTAATGGTCGACTCCCCTTCCTTCGCAGCAGCACAGCAGCGGCTCAACCCCTTCATCAAGTCAGGCAGCCTCAACCTTAACCTGTCACTGTGTGAGTGGTTGTAAAAGTTTTATGAGGCGCCTCAAAAGTCACTGTGTGATGTGAGTGCTTCTGCAGATGTCAGCGCACAAACTGCCCCACATTCCCCTTCCTGTTTCCACGCTTCTCCCTGCATCTCTCCCCCCCCCCACCTTCTCTCCTGTCAGACCACGGGTATCTGGGGCGCATGGCCGATCTAGAATAGGTCCCTCTAGAGGCCTTTGACACTGTTATTGTGCTCGCCCCCGCTCGGTGGTGCCCCCCGCTCGCACCACCAGCCACCCCCCGACCAGCCGCACCACCACCACTGAACCCACGTTCCACTTCCTGCTTCCCCGTTTCTCCCTTCTCCCATCTCTCCCCCCCCCCCTTCCCTTCCCCCCTATGCCAGACCATGGGCATTTGGGTTCAATGGCTGATTTGGAAAAGGTCCCTCTAGAGGCCTTTGACACTGTTATTGTGCTCGCCCCTTGCTCTCACCACCAGCCGCCCCCCGACCAGCCGCAAATGCGCGACGACGAAGGGGGGGCGGAGCGCGGGGAGGGCACCAGCAGCAGGAGCGGTGGTGCGGGGGGTGAAGGGGGAGAGGGAGTGCTGATGCCGTCTGCTTCGGTAACTGCTATGATGATTCGGACGATTCAGAGGGAGCGGGGACTGGTGGGAGCAACCGTGCTGGCAGAGAGTGATTCGGCAGTGGAGGGGAGGGGAGAGGGAGGGGAGGAGGGCGGGGGAGAGGGGGAAGGGGAAGGGGAGGGGGAGGGAGGGGCCGCGGCGGCGGCGGTGGTGGATGGGGATTTGATGGAGGAGGTGCGGGAGAGGTGGTTGACTGATAGCCTGGATACGAATGTGGTGCATGCGAGGATTCTGGCTCAGACTGCCATGGACCCAGGTGGGTGGGTGCAGCAGGTGCGGTGAAGCAGGCATGCTAGTGGTGGTTATGAGGGGAGGGGAGTGGGGCCATGCGCGGATTCTGGCTCAGACTGCCATGGACCCAGGTGGGTGGGTGCAGCAGGTGCGGTGAAGCAGGCATGCTAGTGGTGGTTATGAGGGGAGGGGATTGGGGCCATGCGCGGATTCTGGCTCAGACTGCCATGGACCCAGGTGGGTGGGTGCAGCAGGTGCGGTGAAGCAGGCATGCTAGTGGTGGTTATGAGGGGAGGGGAGTGGGGCCATGCGCGGATTCTGGCTCAGACTGCCATGGACCCAGGTGGGTGGGTGCAGCAGGTGCGGTGAAGCAGGCATGCTAGTGGTGGTTATGAGGGGAGGGGAGTGGGGCCATGCGCGGATTCTGGCTCAGACTGCCATGGACCCAGGTGGGTGGGTGCAGCAGGTGCGGTGAAGCAGGCATGCTAGTGGTGGTTATGAGGGGAGGGGAGTGGGGCCATGCGCGGATTCTGGCTCAGACTGCCATGGACCCAGGTGGGTGGGTGCAGCAGGTGCGGTGAAGCAGGCATGCTAGTGGTGGTTATGAGGGGAGGGGAGTGGGGCCATGCGCGGATTCTGGCTCAGACTGCCATGGACCCAGGTAGGTGGGTGCAGCAGGTGCGGTGAAGCAGGCATGCTAGTGGTGGTTATGAGGGGAGGGAAGTGGGGCCATGCGCGGATTCTGGCTCAGACTGCCATGGACCCAGGTGGGTGGGTGCAGCAGGTGCGGTGAAGCAGGCATGCTAGTGGTGGTTATGAGGGGAGGGGATTGGGGCCATGCGCGGATTCTGGCTCAGACTGCCATGGACCCAGGTGGGTAGTGCTCTGTGCAGCTGGTGCGTTGAAGCAGGCATGTGCGGGTCAGAGTTATCCTGTGGGGCGGAGGAGGGGGGTACGATGGAGGAGGTGCGGGAGAGGTGGTTGACTGATAGCTTGGATACAAATGTGGTGCATGCACGGATTCTGGCCCAAACTGCCATGGACCCAGGTGGGTGGGTGGGAGGGTGGGCAGGTGGGTGCACATGCCAGTATGTGGGGCAGTGGTGGGACCACTGCCACTGTCTGCATGAGGCTACAAGCTGACTGGCAGTGGTGGCACCACTGCCACTGTCTGCATGAGGCTACAAGCTGACTGGCAGTGGTGGGACCACTGCCACTGTCTGCATGAGGCTACAAGCTGACTGGCAGTGGTGGGACCACTGCCACTGTCTGCATGAGGCTACAAGCTGACTGGCAGTGGTGGCACCACTGCCACTGTCTGCATGAGGCTACAAGCTGACTGGCAGTGGTGGCACCACTGCCACTGTCTGCATGAGGCTACAAGCTGACTGGCAGTGGTGGGACCACTGCCACTGTCTGCATGAGGCTACAAGCTGACTGGCAGTGGTGGGACCACTGCCACTGTCTGCATGAGGCTACAAGCTGACTGGCAGTGGTGGGACCACTGCCACTGTCTGCATGAGGCTACAAGCTGACTGGCAGTGGTGGGACCACTGCCACTGTCTGCATGAGGCTACAAGCTGACTGGCAGTGACGGCACGGTGGCACCAGTTGGGTGTGGGCTTGCGGTCTCTCTGTTCGCTCATTTTCAGTGGGAAAGCACCCTGCCATAGTCATACGTACTAATTGCACACATTCATATGATGTGCACTCACGTGCATGCATGTATGCTCATGTGCATGCATTTCCAGCCCTGTACCCATGACTCCATCTCTAATCTTCACATGCATGGATGCGATCGTGCGGTCATGCACACATGTAAGGCCAGCCCCATACCCTAAGCAACCCCATACCCATGACTTCATCTCCAATCCGCGGGCACTCATGCCGAACCCATCCTATTCCCTTTTGGCTGTGCCAGATGTCGGCGGCGTTTGGGCGAGGTCGTGAGCGGGTCTGGCTTATAATTCTCGGGGTTTGAGGCGTCTCAAAACACACACGCATCCCCTGCTGGCGTCTCAATATGCAAATCCACCCATTCCCTGCTGTGCCAGATGTCGGCGGCGTATTGGACGAGATCGTGAGCGGGTCGGGCTCGTCGCTCTCTCTGGAGGATGCCACCTCGTTCCTCGTGGACGGGGAAGCCCTCTCCTTCTTCGACCTGCAGGTGCGTTGCTCCCTAGCCCTGAATCTTCGTTCTCACTCTCTCTTCCCCGTGGATGGCGAATCACTCTCCACCTGCAGATTTGCCTGCATGGGTGCGCCTTCCGCACACGCACACAAACACGCACACAAACACGCACACAAACACGCACGTGCACACCCAGATGGACTCATGTGCACAAGCACCCATTTTCTTTGTCATATGCCTAACATGCTTTCTTCCTAACCCATTATGTTATGCTTTTTTTATAATCACCCCTCTACCCAATAAATTCTCTTCGTTTCCCCTTTATCATAATGTCTCTACCTTTTTTTCAATTGCAGAGCCGGGTTCTGCGTCGGCGGAAGCTGATGATTGCATACAACTGTGCTAATAACGGGGGCAAGTGGCAGCTGAATCCCCAAGACAAGAACAAGCCTCTGGTGTGGCGAGCTGGCGACCGCCTTGTCGTGCTGTCTTAGACAGTACACGCTCGATCAGCTGGTCCTACTATTATTATGGCAATTATTTAATATGGTTAATATGTGTGTCTTGTTAACCGGCTTGTGTATCGTTCATATTTTTACCAGACACACTGGTTTGCTACACTGCGAAATAAGCTGAGACATTGCTCTGTCATTCTCCCTGCGTCGTTACGTCATGTCCTTATTATCGAAGACCTCTACAAGCGGTGCATGAAACTTCTCAACTCTCCCCGCCTTCCCCGCACTTCCACCCGCAATTTCCGCCACCTCGCCCTTTTCAATCGACGCCGTACGTCAGTCCGTGAAGCACGACTCGCCGTCGATGTCCCTCTCGAATTCACCACCGTCCCCTGCATAGCCTCTCGATTCTCCACCCTTGAGCAGTTCAGATTCACTGAGCACCCACGGCCGAGTAAAAACTGGAACTCTCACGTCGTCAGTGGTCACCGTCGAGTCCAGCGATAGTTTCAAGAAAATCGTCTAATCCGCCGAGCGGATTTTTTTTTCTGAGGTAGATTCGGATTCGGATTCTATTCTGCTGAGGTGGATTTTATCCGTTTTTTGCCGAGGATCTTCCGCATGGCGGTTGTGGCGGCGGCAGTCACGGCGCGGTCCCCGTCGTCCGCGTCGGCATCAGGCGCTTCGGCGGGATGGCTGTGGCCGTTGATCGGAACGGCGGCGTCGATCGCCTTCGCGTCCGCCTTCTCGCTCACTCTCCGCATCTTGCGGGGACTCTCTGCGTCGCGCACCCTCGCGCTGCATCCTCCGCAGGTACACGGTTAGCCCGCGCGCGCCGCGTCCTCCGCAGGTCCGTCGTCATCTTCAGCCGGCGGTGTGGGCGGTGACGCAAAAGTCATGTACGGGCGTGGGCCCGCGGGGCGGTGTTGGGCGCGCGGGGTGGGCCCTTGGCGCGCCGTAGATGACTTTTGCGTCGCTTGCCTCGAGTTCCCTCGCAGTCGCATCGGCATCACCTGGCGGTTCGCCGCCATGTGCGGACAAGTCTTTAACTCGACTAAAAAATCTTCAGCTTCTTGTCGCCAGGTGACGCATGATGACTCGAGGCAGGTGCTTACGTAGTGGAGACCTTTTTAATTTCACGTCTTGCATATCCCACTGTGCTCCTTGCCGCCCCCCTCCACTTTCATTATCTCTTTCTTCTCTCTATCTCCCACTCTTTCTCCCCACAATCTCCGCCACCGCTATTTCCTCGTCTCTCCTATGTCCTCGTCTCTCTTATGTCCTCGGTTGTTTCTTCACCCTATCCCCTCCCCAGGCCATTCCTCGTCTCTCTTATGTCCTCGGTTGTTTCTTCACCCTATCCCCTCCCCAGGCCATTCTCGTTCTAGGAGGGAATCGCTACAGGGAACGACTGGCAGGAATAGGGATCTCCGACTCAGATTCTCGCTCTCTCTCCTCCTCCATTTCCCATTCTCACGATCTCCTCAGTTATTCTTTCACGCTATCTCCCCCCCCAGGCCATTCTCGTGCTAGGAGGGAATCGCTACAGGGAACGGCTGGCTGGGAGATTCGCAGCCCTGCTGGCTGCCCCATACCAGCCCGTGACTGGGAATTTGAGCAGTGTCATCAGCACCAGCAGTAACTCTGGGTTGACTCAAGATAGAGGCACTGGCAATGCGGATAATATCAGCAGCAGCGGCAGTGGCAGCGGCGGCGGTGGTGGCGGTGGTAGCAGTGCTGCTGCTAGTGGGAGCGGTGCGGTTGCTGCATGCCTAGCATTTGATCCTATTTTCACCTCCTCTCCCAAGCCTCTAGCCCACGGCACACTCGACTCCCTCCCTCCCGCGCACGCTGCAGCAACTGGGAAGCTTCCGGTGTTCATCTCGTCAGGAAATGACGACGCTGCTGACGTCATGATGCGGGAGGGAGTGCCTGCTGGGCGGTTACGGGTGGATAACCACGCGCTGGACACGGTTACCAACTTCACGACAATGTTACGCACGTTTCAACAGTTGAAAATCACGCATGTGCTCGTGATTACCTCGGATTTTCACATGCCGCGCGCGGCTATGATGGCAAGGATTGTGCTTCAAACGCATGGGATTGCGTTCTCTACAGTAACGCTTCCGAGTAAACAGGAAGACAGGGCGTTAGCAGCAACGGTTGGGGGTGCGAAGGGAGGGGAAGGGGAAGAGGAAGGTGAGGTTGAAGAAATTGAGGAGGAAACAAAGCTGAGGCTGGAGAGGGACCGGTTGCGAGGGTTACTGTGGTTGGTAACCGGGTGGCACGGTGCGGAGTTCCTGAGATTCACTCGCCCGGAACGATACAGGTTGCACAAACAAAAGCCTCTTCTGGTGTGCCCTGCATCAAGGGAGCAGTTGTGATGTAGGGGATTTGGAAAGACTTAGTACGGTATGTAAGGTGTGCCATTGTCTCTATTATCTTCTTTTTGTACAGTGGACTGAATGTATATGTGCAATTCTCAGAACAGAGAGTCATTTAACGAGATTGTTCTCACCAATGAGGGTAGAACTCAATAGTCACAAATGCCCATCACAAGCACAATGCTTCAGTCCAGGCCCCACGTTATCAGGGCAAAACATCCTGATTACCCTGAATTCAGGATGCAGTTTTGAATTTGCCCTGTAATTTCAGAATAGTGACAATTAAAACCCTGTGGTCTCAGGATTGTTGGAGACAGTAAATCCTAAAAGCGCCTCTGTCGTGTCGAAACACCGCACCAGAAGCGAGGCGAACCATATCGAGGCACACATGAGTCAACCCTCGGAGGTTGAAAGACGTTGTCGGAGGTTACGCGAAAGTCAAAGGTCAGCGACCTTTGACCTGACAAGTACAGTACGACAGCAAGGACATACAATCGACTCGTTACAGAGCGGTTGCCCGAGTCGTCACTGTATCGAACCGCAACAGCAACAGTAAAGTAGTTACAACCGTATCCATTCATATTCCTTGTACTCATTTATATATGCTTGTATCTCCTTGCTTTAATCAACTTACTTTGCTCTCACATACCAGTGCAAGGTGGTTCACAAGTCTTCATTAAAACGCTTCCGCTATTACAGTTATCCTACCCTGAATTTACCCCTGCAAAAGATCCTAAGGCCCTTTTTTTTTCTCAGCCCAACATGGTATGAGAGCTATCAGGGAAAATTCAACTACTATCAAATCATCAGCAGACAACATGGCAACATACAAGGAAAGGAGTTCCTCTAATGGTTCTCCCGGGACTACTCCTACCCCACCTCCTGCCTCTGGCCTGCAGACAGAGGAAGGAACTGCAACGGGACCAGCAGCGCCTTCAGCCAGCCAGCCTGCCAGCTTCGACCAGAGTATGATGGAGAAATTTTTCTCCTTCATGTCGTTTTACGAGCAACACCAGCAGTCGGCACCTGCGCAGTCAAACAACAGCAACAACAACAACAACGTGACTCCAATGAGTCTTGATGGTTCATCATATGCGCGCGGGAATCAGCAACAACCTACCTTTGCTCCGTACGAACGCGGGTCCATCAGCTTCATGCCGCACCCGCAAGCTCCATCTGGACAAGAAAAACAACTGGATGCACTACAAGTCCAGTCGCAATTCGTGCACGACTTAAAGCTGCAGACGTCAAGGCCCTTCGACGGGAAAGACTTCTTTACCTGGTCGTTCGAATTCGAGCTGATGATGGAAGGCGCGCAGATACTTGGCTTCTTCGACGGGTCCCTGCCATACCCAACAAACGGCACACAGTATGAGAAGCAGCAGTACACATATCAGTCGATGATGGCGTACACGATCCTGCTGAGAAATATCACCCCAACTCAACAGCAGAACATACCTTCTTACCGGGGATTCGGCAACTCCGCGGAACTCGCGTACAAGCACCTGAAGGACCTGTATCAAGCAACAGATAGCGTCAGTCAAAGTCGGCTAATGGCGCAACTGACAACGGTCGAAATGAAACCAGGCGAAAAAGGAATGGCATATGTCAGCCGATGTCGCGAACTGCGCGACAAGCTTCTTCGATGCGGAGGGTCAATCTCTGAAGACGCCTTCGTGACAGTCATCATCGGCGGCCTCGGTCCTCAATGGCGCGCAACAAAGGCCATTCTCCGAGCCCACGGAAGAATCTCCGAAGCAGCGCTCTGTGCTGAAATTCACGCCGAGCAACAAGACATGGACCTGCAAGAAGAACGACACAAGAGAAAAACGTCAGTTCCGGAGTTCGCGTTCCACACTCAGCGACGCTACAACAACAACAACAACAACCGACAACAACAGAAGCACGTACCTCCGTTCTGCCATATCTGCAAGACGTCAGGGCACCCGCGCACACACTGCCCGAATCGACAACAGTCAACGCCACAACAGCGACAGCTTCGACCCTCAAGCAACCAAGTTGCTTCAACGCAAGCGAATCCTACGACCCAGGTTCAAGCTTCAACAACATCAACGGGACAACCTGCACAAGGCGCAAGAAACATCGTCAGTTGTATGGCAAGACTGACCGACTCCTGCATCACCGAATCACCACCTCATTACTCACCGGAAGAACAGCTTGACAACAGCACGCCCCGCCGCGAATCACTACAGCCGAACCCGACATACGCCGCTATCGCCCAGAGTGAACCATCCGGGAAGGACACATGGTTCTTGGACAGTTGCTGCGGACAACACATGTGCTCTTCAGGACGCTTCGTACAACGAGAATATCAACTCCAACGAGAAGTAGTCATCACCGTCGCCAACAACCAGAACGTCGCACACGACGACAAGGCGTGGTACAACTTCAGTCACGAGAAACAAGTGTCATTCTACAAATGACCAAGGTCTTAATCGCAGAAGGTCTCGGCTACAACTTACTGAGCGTCAGTCAGTTGATGGCGAAAGGCATCCACCTCGAAGCAGACAGCACCACCCAGGAATTCCGGCTGTTCCACGGAAAGGGCGGCCTCTACATCGGAAAGGCGATCCTCAAGAACAACGTCTTCGTTCTTGACTTCGTACCAGACCTTGGCACCGCTGACAGCGACGGCATCGTCAGCTTTGCTCCTTGGACACATCCTCCAGACCTTGACCCAGACTTAAGCCCCGGCGGCTTCTGGCACTCACACACCATTCCTGAAGCAGAGAGAACAAGGGCGTTAGCAACAATTCAACAAACATCGGCAGCAGCAGAAACAACATCAGCAGCAGCAGAGACAACATCAGCAGCAGCAGAGACAACATCGGCAGCAGCAGAGACAACATCAGCAGCAGCAGAGACAACATCAGCAGCAGCAGAGGCAACAACGCCAACAGCAGCAGCAACATCGACACCAATCGCCGGTCCTTCAACGGCACCAATCTCCATCGACGATTCGCCTCCGACACCCGCACAGCAGTTAACCCCGGCACCACGAGAAGTCCACCGAAGCGCTAACATCACCGCCGGCTTTTACTCAAACTCAGACATGTACAGACGCTCCCCCGGGCACCGCGCCAGCGAAGACATCTGGCACGCACGGATGGGACACCCAAGCAACACAACATTAAACAACACGATAAGAGCAGGAGTGCTCGACAAAGACTCCCTACTACTGCACGACGGGAGAGAACTTCAACGAGTCAGAGGAACATGCTTCACCTGTCCTGAAGCCGACTTACCGCATCAGCCGTTCGTACCTCATCACAACCCAAGCGCACCTGCATACACACCACTTGAGAAGGTATACAGCGACATCCTGTACAATCGCGCAACAGGGCAAGGAGCCCTCAATTACACCATCACCTTCATCGACGCCGCCACTCGATACGTCTGGCACCTCAACCTTCCAAGCCGCGATATGGCTTTCGAAGCCTTTGTCGCCTGGCTACCAGTTGCGGAACGAGAATCGGGAGCTAAGCTGAAAAGCTTTCAATCAGACGGGGGAGGAGAATACACCTCACAAAGGTTCAAGCAATACTTGGCGGAAAGAGGAATCAAGAAACTCATCTCCCTCCCCTACGCCCATCAACAGCAGGGTGTAGCAGAAAGGATGAACAGGACACTGCAGAACACCATGCGCAAACTGCTACGTGGCATGCGGCTACCCAACCACCAGTGGCCAGAGGCGATGGACCACGCTGTCATGCTGCACAACTTGCTATCCTCGTCGTCACTCCCGAACAACGCATCACCGCACCTGTTGTGGACAGGAAAACTGGGCAGCACAAAAATGTTACGAGTTTTTGGGTGCATGGTACAGTACCGACCTCCAGCTGCACGAGCCGGCCGATTCTCCCAACGAGCACAATGGGGACTACACCTGGGCATCGAAAAGAACTACAACGCGTGGAAAATTTTCGACGTCCACTCAAAGGAAGCAGTACCAGCACGCGACGTCATCTTCTACGAGCGACTCACCCTCGACTCCTACCTTGCCAACTTGGCAGAACAGCGAGACCTCACCAGTGGATTCCGTGGAGACAGAGCCTTCGCTTCGGCAGCCGACGAAGCTGACCTGGACGAGCAGAACGTGGACAGAGCCTCGGAAGAAGCCGGACCTCTCCCCTACTGCTCTGTCGATATCCCCTTGGATGACGAAAACCCTCGCGACAGCATCAACGCCGACGTTTTCTACGATTTCGCCGACACTGGTTACGTTACACCTGCACGGGTCAACACCGACGAAGCAGAACGCATAGGACCAAATTTCTTACCGGATCCAGAAGACGGTGACGAAGCAGCTTATCCCGAGGACACCACACTCCCCCGCTACACACAGAGTGGGCTCCAAATCCTTGGACTCGTCATCGCAGTCCACGGCACCGCCGTTCCTAAGGAGCCTGCGACGGTTCAGCAGGCTCTGGGGGGGGAGCACAGGGAAAAATGGCGTGAAGCCATGGACAGAGAGTTAAAAGCGCTGGAGGAACGGAACACCTGGAAAGTCGTTCCCATCAGTGTGGCAAGAGATAAAACCATTCTCACCGGGAAATGGGTCTTCCGCGTAAAGACGAAAGCTGACGGCACCATCGACAAGTTCAAGGCACGATGGGTCGTGCGCGGCTTCGACCAAGAACAAGGACGGGACTTCACCGAGACCTTCGCACCGGTCAGCCGACACACCTCACTTCGAATCCTCCTCGCGATCGCCGCCATGAAAAAGAAGAAGCTGCGGCAAATCGACGTCGCAAACGCCTTCCTTTACGCACCCGTTGACGCAGAGATTTTCGTGGAACTACCACACGGCACTAACGGGGAGACGAACAAAGTCTGTCAACTACTGAAATCGCTCTACGGGATTAAGCAAGCCCCGCGGCTATGGCAGCAGTATCTACACGCCCGTCTCATCCGCATCGGGTTCAAACAACTGCCGCACGATCAGGGCATGTACCGACTTACAAAGAACACCGACTACATTCTACTAATCGTCTATGTAGACGACCTCCTCTACATCGGCTCGTCCGACAGCATCACCACCTGGTTCGAAGGGGAGCTGCAGCGGGATCTCACGCTCACGGTTTCATCTACAGTCACACAGTACCTTGGGCTCAACATCCGAGAAGAAGAAACTGCAATCTACCTCAGCGCCGAAAAATACGCTGACACCATCGCTAAGCGCTTCGCTTTCACACCGACCGCGATTTCCACGCCATACCGTTACACGACAGGAACTGACAAGGGAGGATCTATTCCACTCAAGCCCGCCGGCATTCGTGACTACCAGAGAAAGCTGGGATGTCTTCTCTTCGCAGCCGTCACCTGTCGCCCAGACCTATCCTACTCCGCAAGCCAACTCGCCACCTACCTCAAAAGACCCGAAGCAGAGCACCTAGCAGAGCTCGACCGCGCTCTTCACTACTTCGTCAGCACTCCAACGATCGGCTTAACGTATCACAAGAACGCAACTACACCAACTAAGCTAATCGGCTATGTCGACGCCGATCACGCCGGCGATTCCGACAATAGGCGCTCCCGCACCGGCTACATCTACCGCCTCGAGCCTATCGGTCCTATCTCCTGGCAGTCGAGTAAGCAGGAACTAATCGCCCTCTCATCAGCTGAAGCAGAATATATCGCACTCTGCTCAGCCACCAAGGAAGGACTTTACCTTCGCGAGCTGCTGGAAGAAGCGAAGTTAGCCGAGTTACCCAACTTCACCCTATTCTGCGACAACCAATCTGCAATTCGCATCGCCAACAAAAATGGATTCGCGAACAGAACGAAACATATCGCCCTGCGATACTTCTTCGTGAAAGACGAGATCGAGAAGGGAAGACTTGAACTATCCTACTGTCCCACGTCCGAGATGGCAGCTGACTATTTGACCAAGAAGCTCGGAAAGCAGAAGTTCGAGTACTGCATGCTGCTGACTGGACAAGGCCACGTCATCAGCAGCGACACTCCAGAAGCGAAGGGGAGTGTTGGAAACAGTAAATCCTAAAGCGCCTCTGTCGTGTCGAAACACCGCACCAGAAGCGAGGCGAACCATATCGAGGCACACGCGAGTCAACCCTCGGAGGTTGAAAGAGGTTGCCGGAGGTTACGCGAAAGTCAAAGGTCAGCGACCTTTGACCTGACAAGTACAGTACGACAGCAAGGACATACAATCGACTCGTTACAGAGCGGTTGCCCGAGTCGTCACTGTATCGAACCGCAACAGCAACAGTAAAGTAGTTACAACCGTATCTTTTCGTATTCCTTGTACTCATTTATATATGCTTGTATCTCCTTGCTTTAATCAACTTACTTTGCTCTCACATACCAGTGCAAGGTGGTTCACAAGTCTTCATTAAAACGCTTCCGCTATTACAGTTATCCTACCCTGAATTTACCCCTGCAAAAGATCCTAAGGCCCTTTTTTTTTCTCAGCCCAACAAGGATGTTATATGAAATGCCCTGGACATTCAGGATGGTCGTGGTGTGCTTCCCTGAAGCGTCAGGATGAATGTCGAGGCTTTCCCTGACACGTCTCTCGAGGGGGGGGGGGGGGGGGGGGGGGGGGGGGGGGGGGGGGAGAGGGGTTTGGGGGGAGTTCTCGTTCCCGGGGAATTTTTTACCCACGGGTTATTTTTCTCCATGTCTTTTTCCGACCTTCGCGCGACGTTATTGACAGATCCGATCCCCTGCAAAGCACCAGCCAAACCCGTCAGGTTGAAAACAGGTTGGGCTAGGCAACACGTTCGTCTCCTCATGTGCCATGGATGCACCCCTCCAATGTTGATGTTAGAGTAGCAATGGTGTTCCCTGGTCTAGTCTAGTAGTGTTCTCTACCCTGGATAAGTTACCAAGAGTAGGACAATGCTGGTGCCATTAGATGGGTTAAAAACAGAACCCTGAACACTCGTATTTTTGCCCTGGCAGGCCAGAATAAATTTCTGCAGAAGCCCTGAAACCACAGGAAGCCTCTGAAAATTTGCCCTGACAAATCAGGGCATTTTTTAAGATTCTGGAAAGTTGCCCTGAGGCCTCAGGATGCCCCAAAACCTAGCACGGGCCCTGCTTCAGTCACCATCAGCACAATCACGGGTTGGGGTTTGGCAGCACCGCATGAATGGAGTCAATCCTGTGAGAACTCTATCCCCTCTCCTCTCGCCCCTTTTCCTCTTTCTCTCTCTTCATCCACAACCGATAAAATCTCTTGTAACTGCTCCAAAGACGATGCCCCCAGAACTGCAGGCCCCGTGATTACCATGATCACGGAGTGGGGTTTGGAAGCACAGCACGTGTTTGAAGAAGTGTTTTGAGACGTCTCATCGTCACGGAGTGGGGTTCGGAAGCACACCATTTTTGAGTCGACTCAAACATCGTCACGGAGTGGGGTTCGGAAGCACACCATGAACAGCGTCAATAGCTGCTCTCATCTCCTCTGTGAACTCTATCCCCTCTCCCCTTCCATTCCCTTTCATTCCCCCTCTTCCTCCCCCTTCTCCCACAACCGATAGAATCTCCTCTAGCTGCTCCAAAGACGATGCCCCCACAACTGCAGCCCCCACAAAAGGATGCGCCAGCACAAATGCCAGCGCCAGCTGTACCGGCGACACGTGGAACCGCCTCGCCACGTCAGCGTACGCCCTGACAGCTGTCGCCACCCGGGGGGTGCCGATCGGGTACCTGCCCTCTGCCTCGGCGTACCGGTTCCGGTACTTAACTAAGCGCCAGGAAGGATCCTGGAAGATTCCGTTGCTGCTGGTTGTTGAATCGGTGCCTTGGTGGAGATCCAGGGATTGGGCCAGGAGACGTGCTGTGTCGATTGATGCTGATGTAGCAGCATCCGCTGACGTGGAAGCGTTTGCTGACGTGGCAGCGTCGGGTGATGTGGCAGCGTCTGCTGATGCGGCAGCGTCTGCTGATGGGCTAGAGTGGTAGTTACCCAACAGCATTTGGGGGCTGCAGTGGTATTTACCCGAGAGCAGCCCCATGGCTAGGGGGCTGTATGCGAGCAGGGGAATGTGTTCACGGTGGCACGACTCAGCTAGGGTGGAGTCAAATGTGCGGCAGAGCAGGGAATAGGCGTTTTGGAGGGCGATGGGGCGAGGGCGGAGAGGAGGCGAGGAGGAGGAGGAAGTCGCAGGCTGGTTGGCAACTTCCAGGAACTTTCCCAACCCCCATGCTGTCTCGTTGCTGAGTCCAATATACCGCACCTTCCCTGGGAATGGGCGGAAGCGGGAGGGAAGGGAGGGGAGTGAGGGGAGGGAGGGGAGTGAGAAGAAGCGGGGTGGAGTGGAAGTTAGAGGGGGAAAACAAGCCCTAGGAGTCCCACAAGGCCCTCACGGTGGCACGACTCAGCTAGGGTGGAGTCAAACGTGCGGCAGAGCAGGGAATAGGTGTTTTGCAGGGCGATGGGGCGTGTTTTGAGTCGACTCAAAACACACGAGGGGAATGTGCTTGTGGTGGCATCAGTCAGCTAGGGTGGAGTCAAATGTGCGGCAGAGGAGGGAATAGGCGTTTTGGAGGGCGATGGGGCGAGGGCGGAGCGGAGACGAGGAGGAGGGGGGAGTTGCAGGCTGGTTGGCAGCTTCCAGGAACTTTCCCAACCCCCATGCTGTCTCGTTGCTGAGTCCCACGTACCGCACCTTTCCTGGGATGGGGGGCAAGTGTTGGGATGGGGGGGCAAGTGTTGGGATGGGGGGGCAAGTGTTGGGATGGGGGGCAAGTGTTGGGATGGGGGGGCAAGTGGGGGAGAGTGGGCAAAAGTGAGTTTACGAACCTTGGTAACTTCAGATAAAGGGGGGGGAGGGAAAGTGGAAGTTAGTGGGGGGACTTTTGAGTCGACTCAAAAGTCACCTTGTTTTTTAGTCGACTAAAAAGTCACCTTGTTTTTTAGTCGACTAAAAAGTCACCTTGTTTTTTAGTCGACTAAAAAGTCACTTATTTTTGTAGTCCACTGAAAAGGCACCTTGTTTTTGAGTCGACTCGAAAGTGGAAGTTTGTGCGGGGAGGAAAGCACAAACTTACAGATCACATAATGCAGACAAATTTCCCGAACAAAACAAAACTGGAATCCCTGCTTCATTCCCTAAACACTCGGACCCACCTGCTTCCACTGCCCTTCCCAGCGCCTCCAGCTGTGCTTCAAACGGGCTGTACTCGCTATAGTCACACCGCGGGTCAAACTCCCAGTCGCCAAACATGGGCACGTAGCGATCCGGCCAGTGCAGCTGTAGCAGGTCGATATAGTCACACTGCAGGCGCTGGAGACTGGTGTCTATGGCGGATGTGATATTAACGGGGTCGAGAGAAGCAGGGCCCCCTCTAATCCACGTCATCTGAGCTGATGGGCCTGTCACCTGGGAGAGCCCTGAAAGGGGGGGAAGAGGCGGAAGGGGGAGAGAGAGAGGAGAGAGGAAAGAGGGAGGGGAGGAGGGAGGAAGGAGAGGGGGAGAGGAGGAGGAAGGAGAGGGGGAGGGGAGGAGGACGGAGAGGGGGAGGGGAGGAGGGAGGAAGGAGAGGGGGAGGGGAGGAGGGAGGAAGGAGAGGGGGAGGGGAGGAGGGAGGAAGGAGAGGGGGAGGGGAGGAGGGAGGAAGGAGAGGGGGAGGGGAGGAGGGAGGAAGGAGAGGGGGAGGGGAGGAGGGAGGAAGGAGAGGGGGAGGGGAGGAGGGAGGAAGGAGAGGGGGAGGGGAGGAGGGAGGAAGGAGAGGGGGAGGGGAGGAGGGAGGAAGGAGAGGGGGAGGGGAGGAGGGAGGAAGGAGAGTGGGAGGGGAGGAGGGAGGAAGGAGAGGGGGAGGGGAGGAGGGAGGAAGGAGAGGGGGAGGGGAGGAGGAAGGAGAGGGGGAGGGGAGGAGGGAGGAAGGAGAGGGGGAGGGGAGGAGGAAGGAGAGGGGGAGGGGAGGAAGACGAAGGGAGAGGGGGGGGGAATGATGAAGAAAGAGGAAGGGAAGAGGGGAAGGGGAGAGGGTGAGAGGGTCAATCCACCATCGGCCATACAAGGAGGACATAACGCCTGGTAGACCCCTCACGTGGTACGCCTGGTATTGTAAACCTAACATAGCGACATGCTCCGCCCCTCACATCACAACCCGCTCTAAAGGCACGTTCAAAACTTCCTGAAGCCCACCCACCTTAGTGGCGACCACGATTTTGTCTCTCGGAACGCCAGAAGCAGCCATCCACCGCCCCAGATACTCCTCGCTTCGCCCCTGGTGGTGGGCCACGTGAGGGGAGTTGCAGATGACAGCAGAGGCGAAGGCAGACATGGTGGTGTGGTGGTGAGGAGTTTGTCTCTCGGAACGCCAGAAGCAGCCATCCAGCGCCCCAGATACTCCTCGCTTCGCCCCTGGTGGTGGGTTGAAATGTGGGGAAAAGCGGACATGAGCAGCTTAGCCACTAACCCATGTAGGCATCCGCAGATACTCCTCACCTAAGCGCAAGGAAACTTGGATTCGAGCTGCAGAAAGCGTAGGGTCTCCTCGAAATTCTTGAGTAACAGCTAGGAGTATTTAGAGTGGGAAAAAAGGTAGAATCAGGACTTGGTAAATCCAACTTCAGTAAAGAGGCGTACGCGTTTCGGCCGTGAGGCCTTCGTCAGCGCCGTAGGATTACAGAATGAAAGACTACTCTAACCCCTTTTCTACCCATTTCCCGTTATCCTCTAACTGCCCCGAACTCCCCTAGGTCAAGACAAACTCCAGGTGTAATCTACCCGAACTTCAAGCAACTGCCAAGTCGGATCACCCTTGCCAACGCGGACAAATAGTCCCGAAGGTCAAGGGACTTCCAATCCTCAACATCATGTGAGTTCGCTGTAGTGAAGCGAGCCCTTACCAGTCGGTGTTGTAACCGCGCAGGTAACCTCCAACATGTCAAAAAACGAGGGAATTGTACGCCGACTACATTGAAATCACTTTTGAGAATTCTAAAAAATGTGGGGGAAAGCGGACATGAGCAGCTTAGCCACTAACCCATGTAGGCATCAGCAGATACTCCTCACCTAAGCGCAAGAAAACATGGATTCTAAAAAATGTGACAATTCTTCACCTAATCGCAAGACAACATGGATACTCCTCACCTAAGCGCAAGAAAACATGGATTCTCAAAAATGGGACAATGCTTCACCTAATCGCAAGACAACATGGATACTCCTCACCTAAGCGCAAGAAAACATGGATTCTAAAAAATGTGACAATTCTTCACCTAATCGCAAGACAACATGGATACTCCTCACCTAAGCGCAAGAAAACATGGATTCTCAAAAATGTGACAATTCTTCACCTAATCGCAAGACAACATGGATACTCCTCACCTAAGCGCAAGAAAACATGGATTCTCAAAAATGTGACAATTCTTCACCTAATCGCAAGACAACATGGATACTCCTCACCTAAGCGCAAGAAAACATGGATTCTCAAAAATGTGACAATTCTTCACCTAATCGCAAGACAACATGGATACTCCTCACCTAAGCGCAAGAAAACATGGATTCTCAAAAATGTGACAATTCTTCACCTAATCGCAAGACAACATGGATACTCCTCACCTAAGCGCAAGAAAACATGGATTCTCAAAAATGTGACAATTCTTCACCTAATCGCAAGACAACATGGATACTCCTCACCTAAGCGCAAGAAAACATGGATTCTAAAAAAAGTGACAATTCTTCACCTAATCGCAAGACAACATGGATACTCCTCACCTAAGCGCAAGAAAACATGGATTCTCAAAAATGTGACAATTCTTCACCTAATCGCAAGACAACATGGATACTCCTCACCTAAGCGCAAGAAAACATGGATTCTCAAAAATGTGACAATTCTTCACCTAATCGCAAGACAACATGGATACTCCTCACCTAAGCGCAAGAAAACATGGATTCTCAAAAATGTGACAATTCTTCACCTAATCGCAAGACAACATGGATACTCCTCACCTAAGCGCAAGAAAACATGGATTCTCAAAAATGTGACAATTCTTCACCTAATCGCAAGACAACATGGATACTCCTCACCTAAGCGCAAGAAAACATGGATTCTCAAAAATGTGACAATTCTTCACCTAATCGCAAGACAACATGGATACTCCTCACCTAAGCGCAAGAAAACATGGATTCTCAAAAATGTGACAATTCTTCACCTAATCGCAAGACAACATGGATACTCCTCACCTAAGCGCAAGAAAACATGGATTCTAAAAAATGTGACAATTCTTCACCTAATCGCAAGACAACATGGATACTCCTCACCTAAGCACAAGAAAACATGGATTCTCAAAAATGTGACAATTCTTCACCTAATCGCAAGACAACATGGATACTCCTCACCTAAGCGCAAGAAAACATGGATTCTCAAAAATGTGACAATTCTTCACCTAATCGCAAGACAACATGGATACTCCTCACCTAAGCGCAAGAAAACATGGATTCTAAAAAATGTGACAATTCTTCACCTAATCGCAAGACAACATGGATACTCCTCACCTAAGCGCAAGAAAACATGGATTCTCAAAAATGTGACAATTCTTCACCTAATCGCAAGACAACATGGATACTCCTCACCTAAGCGCAAGAAAACATGGATTCTCAAAAATGTGACAATTCTTCACCTAATCGCAAGACAACATGGATACTCCTCACCTAAGCGCAAGAAAACATGGATTCTCAAAAATGTGACAATTCTTCACCTAATCGCAAGACAACATGGATACTCCTCACCTAAGCGCAAGAAAACATGGATTCTCAAAAATGTGACAATTCTTCACCTAATCGCAAGACAACATGGATACTCCTCACCTAAGCGCAAGAAAACATGGATTCTAAAAAATGTGACAATTCTTCACCTAATCGCAAGACAACATGGATACTCCTCACCTAAGCGCAAGAAAACATGGATTCTAAAAAATGTGACAATTCTTCACCTAATCGCAAGACAACATGGATACTCCTCACCTAAGCGCAAGAAAACATGGATTCTCAAAAATGTGACAATTCTTCACCTAATCGCAAGACAACATGGATACTCCTCACCTAAGCGCAAGAAAACATGGATTCTCAAAAATGTGACAATTCTTCACCTAATCGCAAGACAACATGGATACTCCTCACCTAAGCGCAAGAAAACATGGATTCTAAAAAATGTGACAATTCTTCACCTAATCGCAAGACAACATGGATACTCCTCACCTAAGCGCAAGAAAACATGGATTCTCAAAAATGTGACAATTCTTCACCTAATCGCAAGACAACATGGATACTCCTCACCTAAGCGCAAGAAAACATGGATTCTCAAAAATGTGACAATTCTTCACCTAATCGCAAGACAACATGGATACTCCTCACCTAAGCGCAAGAAAACATGGATTCTAAAAAATGTGACAATTCTTCACCTAATCGCAAGACAACATGGATACTCCTCACCTAAGCGCAAGAAAACATGGATTCTAAAAAATGTGACAATTCTTCACCTAATCGCAAGACAACATGGATACTCCTCACCTAAGCGCAAGAAAACATGGATTCTCAAAAATGTGACAATTCTTCACCTAATCGCAAGACAACATGGATACTCCTCACCTAAGCGCAAGAAAACATGGATTCTCAAAAATGTGACAATTCTTCACCTAATCGCAAGACAACATGGATACTCCTCACCTAAGCGCAAGAAAACATGGATTCTAAAAAATGTGACAATTCTTCACCTAATCGCAAGACAACATGGATACTCCTCACCTAAGCGCAAGAAAACATGGATTCTCAAAAATGTGACAATTCTTCACCTAATCGCAAGACAACATGGATACTCCTCACCTAAGCGCAAGAAAACTTTTGAGAATTCTAAAAAATGTGGGGGAAGGCGGACATGAGCAGCTTAGCCACTAACCCAAGCTGCTCAAGGCGGACATGTCCCTAAAGTGTAGACATGAGCAGATCTGCTCATGTCTGCTCATGTAGGCATCAGCAGATACTCCACACCTAAGCTGCTGGTGGGTGGGGACACTTTAGGGAAAAAGCAGGTAAGTGGATATGACTCAAGCATTTTGCTCATACCTAGATATGCGTAGCCATCTCAGCCGTATAAAAGAAGTTGAATCCTCCCTCCCTCTCTCCCGCTACTTTGATCAAAGAAACAGATCAAACCAGAGTCAATAAAGTCAAAGCAAGTCACCTGCGTTTCTGCCCTTTGAGGCACAGGGTACATCTCAGCCATTTCAAAGAAGTTCACACCTCCTTCTCCCCGTCTATCGGCCTTGTAACCGGCTCAACAGATCAATCAAACCAAAGTCAAGCAAGTCAAACCAAGTCAAGCAGGTCACCTGTGTCTCTGCCCTCTGTGGCACAGGGTACATCTCAGCCATATCAAAGAAGCTCACCCCTCCCTCCCCCGTACCCGCCTTATGCACCGGCTCACGTATCAACGAATCAAAGCCAGGTAAATAGAGTCAAAGCACGTCAAGCAAGTCACCTGAGTCTCTGCCCTCTGTGGCACAGGGTACATCTCAGCCGAGTCAAAGAAGTTCACCCCTCCCTCCACCGCCCTGCTTAGCTGTGCCGATGCGTCCTGGTAGCTGGGGTGGGGGTGGGGGGGGTGGGGGGGAGGTGCAGCACTTCTTCAAACAGCGATGAACCTGAAGTTAAGGCACAGAGAATTGCACCGCACGAAATGTACAGTACCTGTACTTCCACACTCGTTATAAGACCTTATTCGCACGCTATAAGCACACGTACCTCAGAGCTTCTCCGAACTGCATGGTGCCGAGGCAAATTCGCGACACCACCAGATCCGACGCGCCGAGCCTGTTGTACTGCATCGACCCTACAGTAACTCTCCCTTTCTAAAACGGTAGTTACAATCACGACTTTTCTTCGTTAGAGTCACATTGGCTTTCCGTGATAGTGCATTCGAGTGCCGAGAGCCGAGGAGCAACGGAGGCTCATTCGCTGCTGTAGCGGGAAGCACGGAGACATTGCGCAGGACAGAGGGAATTCCAGGTGTCATCGACATTCGGAAAAGCTACTAGCCCAAGAGGGAAGCAAGGAGAATAATCTAGGAGCAGCTAGTCATTAGAGTTTGAGGAGCTTCTGGCATCTGATGTGATGCGGTGCGGACATCCATTCCTGTTCATCGCCCAGCAGGAGAAGTCTGTCCTCGCAATGAGGCACGCGCTTCGGTAGTTGTTGGGTGTTTAGCAGTGTACCGCTTTACACGTATTCAAAAGTATGTGTGCATACTCTATACGGGTGGTGGTGGTTGGTTGATCTCACACAACACATTTCTCAAGAAAAACAACACATGTTTGGCGTGACAGGAATAGCATGGACAGAATGCAGCACCCAGTTCTCAGTCTTCCATCTGGTAAGTGGTAACCTGCTCACTGGTGGCATGGCATGGCAAGGCAATGCACAAAACTACTGAATAAAATGACACACCTTTTTCTTCCCGACTCATCTGCACCCATGTGAGGCATGGCATGCTGCAACTTGCACCTCACTCTAGAAGGCCTTCAGCACCACCACATCCAGTGACTGGCGGCCTGCCCGCAATACTACATCTAGTGGTTGCTGCCAGTTTCCTCAATCCTACGTGCCCATGTGAGGAGGCATGACATGTTGCGACTTGCAAGTCGTTCTGGAAGGCCTCCAGCACCGCATGCACGCATGATACATCCAGTCCAGTGGTTGCTGTCATTCCCCTCATTCCTCCGTGTCCATGTGAGGCATGACATGCTCCAAGTCACTCTCAAAGGCCTTGAGAATCGCATCCAATGGCTGGTAACTCTGTATGTCCGGTCCTTATTGTCTGCTCCTCGTGCTTATGCCCCTCATTCCTCCGTGTCCATGTGAGGCATGACATGCTCCAAGTCACTCTCAAAGGCCTCCAGAACCACATCCAGTGGCTGGTGGCGCAGCTTGGATGCTAGGGACGGCACCAGGGGAAACCCATGCTGGCACAAGGAAACAGAGACACCACATTACGTTAGAACACCCACCACACACACAAAAAAAAGGATACGGAACCAGAAATGGTGCCCTGCGTCTTTCCCTGCGAGAACCTGTAACTGCACTGCTTTCCATTGAGAATTGAGATAAGAACAGGGGGATACCCTTGTTACGAGAATATGTTCATTGCAGAAGGACGCGAAGCACAGCATACCTTTGCCATGAAGGTATGCTCGGATAGTAGAATGGCGATTAGCACATCTGGGTTCTTCACCACGCTCTGCCTGCGATGCGATAAATACCAAATAAAAAAGTGCAGACAAAGATGTAGAAAACAGCATGTGGGGTTTGAAACGCATAATACGGGGATAGCAGAGTGGCAGCCAGCACATCTAGGCTCTTCACCGAACTCTGCCTGCATTGTGATTAGCATTCAAACAGCCGTGCGAGAAGGAAGAGCAGCAACTGATGCCTTAGTAGTGGCACACACAATAGCATCCGAGAGGTGATTTATGAGTCAAGTCACTAGAAGTATCGTACCTCATGCACAGCTTGGCACATGCGATGGCAACAGGAATCAAGCTCTCCAGAGTCAGCAGCGACACGTCCCCAACATCCTGGTCCACCTTGGCCCGGCGAATCACAAGGTAGTAAGCATGCAGCGCACTGCATGCCTCCTCGGAAAAGGAAGGCGACACTGCCACCCTGCTAGCAGCCTCCACGTGCTGCTGCATCTCAGCCATAGTCATCAACGCAGGCAGCTCCGAATCCCATGAATCCACCTCCTCTGCTCCATCCAGAAAGGAATCTCCGCCTGATTTCTTGCCTCTTTTCTTCCGCTTCGTTCCCGCGGCACCACCAACACCAGTACCACTGCCAGATGAATTCGCAGGAGACAGGATGATGTCGAATTTCGGAAGCATTCTGGCGAGAGGAGCGTCTTTCTTTGCTGTGATCAGATCAGCAAGCACCAGCCCAGGCAGCCCTGATGCCAGCCTAGCAGCTGTTTCCTTTGTCCCACTGTTGGAGGTCAAACAGGCGTTCTGCCCGCCTCCTGATCTGTTCTCCTCGCCAAAATATGTCGCCCATACCGTTCCACAGCCCACAGCCATCCCAGCAGCTCCCGCGATGATCTTATGCCGGTCCATTACTTGGCTCAGCAGCACAGCCGCATCCAACCGCACCAAACCCCTGGAAACATCCGTCAGGACGATCCCGGAGCTCCCCAGGGCTAGGCTCCCAGCAGATAAGCCATCCACCCCGGAATAGGGAAGAAAATGCTCGTCGGATTTTGCAGAGAGTTTCTTTCCCAGGAGGTGGCGGCCTCTTGGGGGTTGCAAGCCCATGACATGCCGGATGCTTCGCCTGGCCAGCTGAGCGGCAACTTCTAGGGATCGCTCCAGGATCGGACATCGGCCGTTGGATGTCAGGAGGATGTTAATCTTGGACCGTCGATGAGGGGAATTTTGGGGGTTATGGTGGTGGACATTTGAAGTGATGGTTTTCCCTAGAATGGCTTGGAGTGGAGTGTGGGACTGCGATGGGAGGGGGGTGCTACCTGGGGCTGAGACTAGGCTGAGGAGGAGAGCGAACGGGAGAAGCTCCGGGATGGCAAAAGCGTCTGAATCTGAGAGTCCTGCAATGCCCTCTGGACTTGTAACTCCCAATGCGCTTCCAGCGAGATTAATAACGATTTCTCTCTTCAAGGAATCTGCTAGTTTGATGAGGGTTGACAGTCCGTCATCTGATGGTGCTGTGACAGGATTCGGGATGCTGTGCCAGTCTTGGGTTTGCGAAAGAAATTGGGTTTGAGATAGAAAAGGATTTTGGGAAAGGAGGCTGTCAGACTGGGAGCAAGTCGGACTGCTTGAAGCCAATTGGCTGGAAGAAACTTTTGGGCTGGAAGGAATTTTCTTGATGTCATGAATCCCAAAAAGTTTTCCCATGGGATTGGCAGCTTTTGGTTTGGATCGGACCGTCTCTTCCCCTGTAATCAGATTGTTAGCGATGATTCTTGTTGCATCAAAGATCTGGGTGTTGGGAGGAAGCTGCTGGGATGAACCTGGACTCCACGTGTGTCCAATCACGTCACAGAGAGCACCCACGTGGAGCCTGCCAGCTAAATCGTGAAGCAAGAGCACGTGAAATAGTGGAGGCCTCGAAAAGCGTTGATCGCTTTTTCTAAGAGTGGGTATAGGACCCAATACGATATCCTGAAAGCTTTTCACACGTCAGTAGATGCGACAAATGTAACTCATGTCAAATAAAATGACGGAATCGAAACAATTATGACTTACTTGCAACTCCGCTTCGATTCGCCGGGACAGGTCTTCACTGAAGGAATTTGAAGGGCAACACATCACTTGGGATGCAACGTCATCTGTCCACCACACGTCCTTCAGTCGCCCGCAGGTCTGGCACTGAATTCTCCTCATGAAGATAATGTGCTGGGAGGATAGATTCCAGAGACGAGAACATAAACGGTTAAGGAAAACTTTCCACGTAAGATCTAGAGACATACGTTCATATGTGAAGTAATCAGCTCTCTGTTTCCCAGGTGCAGCTTACCAACCATCATGTACAGCATCCCAAGCGATTACCATCATTTTCACTCCCAAATTTTGGCTCAGATGGTACAGAAGGGTTGGATATTTTTCGTAATAACGACGCGAAGTAGACCACGCCATGGATGCGAACGAGCTGATTCGACGGATCCAGATGGATCTTGGCATTCCAGGCCTCCTCAACCGTCAGATTCGGAATCGGAGCTGTAGTGAACCGGATCAGAAGCAAGGCACGAGATCGGATACGAGGTGTGTCCTTCACTGGCGGAAACCCTTCTTCTTCCTTCTTTACGTCCGTTCCAGACAGGACGACGAGAAAATGTTCGGAAAGGAAAGTTGAGATCGATCGAACGTCTGAAAGAAGCAGGATCGCGGTTCCCAGGGACCAATCAGCGAGCTCCATGCCGTCTACGGGGACAGAAAGAACCGATTCTCCGCGTGTAAGTCTTTCCAGAAGACCGTTAAATTGGCCTTTGACTTGCAACCAGTCCGTTAGTTTCAGAACTGCCTGTTGCAGAGTATGAAAGGACGCCATGGTTCTATCACTGGCAAAAAACTGATTGAAACAAGTGAAGCTTGCACCTCCGTGTCAGGGATCGGCTAGCCGATATTCTCTTCTATTCTAGTTCTCCGTGTCACTCTTCTCAATCTCGCGCACCCGCTTGCACACTCTTCGTTTCATTCTGTATGCACTAGCAGATTCCGTCAAGCTGAAGAAATCCATAATTTCAAAATTCCAACTTCAAGTCGGTGTTCATCTTCCCAAGATAAGGTTGTCCTTGCTGGGATGGTGTTCCCTGTGGTTGATTCTTGTTAGCGAAGCCTGTTGGTGTGGATGTCGTCCCGATGGTTTCGTGGGTGGCAATGGTGGTGAGGATTGATTTCGCGAATGCTTTTCGCAACCAGCAGAAGCTTTCGCTGTGCGGAGTTCTTCGTTCGTGGCGTTACTGCACCGAAACATCCCGATCGGGTTTGCCTTCGGCCAATCACTTAGAAGTTTGGAGCCAATCGATCTCTGACAGACCTGCCACGTAAGTTTCGCGCCACAAAATCAAAGGGATCTACGTGTTTGTACTTCTGAACCGAAAGCCTGTCATGGGCAGTGCAAACATTTTGTCGGAGGTGTGGTTGGTCATTTTGCCGTACACCCAAACAAGCCCAACCCAAACCAACCCAAAGTACAACACATCACATCCTTTGTATCCCAGCTTGTCGCATGGGAGTTGATGATGTTGGGCAGGCATGGGGATGTTTTCATTGTATACACTCAAATGTGGGCGAGGCTTCGAAATCCTTGACAAACCAACCACGTATTTTCCCTCCACAAAACAATGGATCTTTCCCGCTTCCCCCTTGCCGCAAATATTCCAGCCTGTGCCCCCCCCGTGACCCTGAATTCCAGTTCAGTCAAATCCCAAATCAAGTCCCCGACACTTTAGGGCGCAATCAGACGTCATATTGCACATACAGAAGATGCAGTAACCCGACGCTGGAAGCCCCGACCGGACATTTGGGGCCACTCTTTAGACAGGAAAGTAGAAACTCGAATTTCCAGACCCCGACTGCAGACTCACAAGACAACCAGAGTTTTGCCTTCTCGCACCTCACCGTTCACCCCCATAGACCCGCCACCGCATCCTCCCCCTCTCTCCCTTCCCGCGCCTCCCCCTTGCACCTCTTCAGCTCTCAAATCAAACCCTCTGCCCCCCGCCATTTTCGAGTAGTTTTAAATATAGCTCCTTCTTCCCGTTGCTGCACCACCAGACTCATTTTCCAATGGCGCTCGTCGAACCGCCGCCTGCGGGCAGCAACGCCATGACGTACGAGCAGCTGCGGCAGGCGAAAATGCAGGCGACGCAGCGCGCATTCGCGGAACTCCAGAGCCTGTCGGCGGACTTAACCCTTGAGACCCGGCGGCAGGCCGGCGAGAAACAGCAGCAGCCACGACGGACGTGGACGCGGCGAAAGCTCTTCGACAAAGTTCGTCGATCCGGCAGGTGATTCTTTCGCGTATTTCTACTCTTAAGGCCCGTCTGAACTGAAAACTTGAGGCATCTCAAAATCTGAAAAACCTTGAAGCTTGATAAGCGTCGCAGGAACAGCGCAGCAGCGACACCCTCGCCGGTTGTGGACGCGGCGAAAGCTCTTCGCGGAAGTTTGTCGATCCAGCAGGAGATTCCTTCGCGCATTTCCAAATGCGCGAACCGGACTCCTCGTAAATCGCCGCCAGACATGATGAGCTGTTTCTGCACGTACCGCGCAAAAGTATTTTGAGGCGTCTCTAGAATTGTACCGCGCAAATGCGCCTAAATTCTGATAACGCTGAGCGGCTGTGGAGGCGCCACGTAATGTTGTACCGCGCATATTTGCCTTGAATTCAATACGTTGTGACAACGCCGTCCGCCGTTGCACAGACTCCAACTGAGCGGTGAAGGTTTTCCTTCCTCCCCCATCTCCCCTTTCCCTCTTCAGGCCGCCCCCGCTGCCCAATATCACGAGCTAGAGGGGCGACCACAGGAGCACGGCGCTGAACGCCTCTGCCCTGTCTCTCCCCCCTCTGTGTCCCTCGTCCCCTCCCTTGCTCCTTTCTCGCTCCTCTTCCTCCTCTCTAGGCGTCCGAACTCCCCCGCCGCCCAATATCACGAGCTAGAGGGGCGACCACAGGAGCACGGCGCTGAACGCCTCTGCCCTGTCTCGCCCCTTCTGTGCCCCTCGCCCCTTCTGTGCCCCTCGCCCCTTCTGTGCCCCTCGCCCCTCTGTGCCCCCCTTCTGCCCCTCGCCCCTTCTGTGCCCCTCGCCCCTTCTGTGCCCCTCGCCCCTTCTGTGCCCCTCGCCCCTTCTGTGCCCCTCGCCCCTTCTGTGCCCCTCGCCCCTTCTGTGCCCCTCGCCCCTTCTGTGCCCCTCGCCCCTTCTGTGCCCCTCGCCCCTTCTGTGCCCCTCGCCCCTTCTGTGCCCCTCGCCCCTTCTGTGCCCCTCGCCCCTTCTGTGCCCCTCGCCCCTTCTGTGCCCCTCGCCCCTTCTGTGCCCCTCGCCCCTTCTGTGCCCCTCGCCCCTTCTGTGCCCCTCGCCCCTTCTGTGCCCCTCGCCCCTTCTGTGCCCCTCGCCCCTTCTGTGCCCCTCGCCCCTTCTGTGCCCCTCGCCCCTTCTGTGCCCCTCGCCCCTTCTGTGCCCCTCGCCCCTTCTGTGCCCCTCGCCCCTTCTGTGCCCCTCGCCCCTTCTGTGCCCCTCGCCCCTTCTGTGCCCCTCGCCCCTTCTGTGCCCCTCGCCCCTTCTGTGCCCCTCGCCCCTTCTCCCTCGCCCCTTCTTTTCCCCACTCTCCCCTTCTTTTCCCCACTTTCTCCGCCGCGCCCCTTTCTCCAGGCTTCAGAACTCCCCTGCTACCCAATAGATCGAGCTAGACGACAGAGCGCCAGAGCGCAGCACTCAACCGCTCTGCCTTGTCTTCTGCCTTCTGTCTACCTTGACACTGTCCCTCGCCCCTCGCCCCTCGCTTTGAGGCGCCTCAAAACTAGACAGAACGCCAGAGCGCAGCACTCAACCGCTCTGCCTTGTCTTCTGCCTTCTGTCTACCTTGACACTGTCCCTCGTCCCCCTCGCCCCTCGCCCCTCGCCCCTCGCCCCTCGCCCCTCTCCCCTTTCACCAGGCTCCAGAACTCCCCTGCGACCCAATACCTCGACCTGGACGACAGAACGGCCAGAACGTAGCACCACTAAGTAGCTCGCCCTGTCTTCCCCTTTCTTCTCCCCCATCCCCCTTCCGCTTGCCTTCACTCCCCCTTTTATCCACCAGGCTTCAGAACTCCCCTGCGACCCAACACCTCGAACTGGACGACAGAACGCCAGAGCGCAGCACTACACGAACCTCGGCCAGCCGCCGAGTCTGGCAGCTTCGGTCTATGGGCTCGGCGGCAGGCTCGGCCGAGGCTGGGACGGTGGTCCGGTGCGGAAAGGAGGTGTACACTGAGGAAGATCTGAAGAAGCTTCGTGGGCACGTGAAACCGTATGACCTCAGCATTGAGCCATACAAGACGCGGATCTACGACCCTGTTAAGGGGAAGACATGCCACCAATGCAGGTAAGTGGATTAGGAATGGGGGTTGACATGGAATGGAAGCTGTATGACCTCAGCATTGAGCCGTACAAGACGCGGATCTACGACCCTGTTAAGGGGAAGACATGCCACCAGTGCAGGTAAGTGGATTAGGAATGGGGGTTGACATGGAATGGAAGCTGTATGACCTCAGCATTGAGCCGTACAAGACGCGGATCTACTACCCTGTTAAGGGGAAGACATGCCACCAGTGCAGGTAAGTGGATTAGGAATGGGGGTTGACATGGAATGGAAGCCGTATGACCTCAGCGTTGCGCCATACAAGACGCGGATCTACGACCCTGTGAATGGGAAGACATGCCACCAATGCAGGTGTTGGTTTTTATACAAGGAAGACAAAGATGAAAAGAATTGTTTGAGTGGACATTTCTGCCAACTTAAATGTGAAAGGTTGGGTGCACGCAAATGCGATCCTAGTCACGTCTCCAATGCAGGTGTTGATTATCTGACAGCGAATAGAACTGTTTGAGTCCACTTACTGTGGAGTCTTGCCACCAATACAGGCGCTGAATGGATCCAGATGCGGATATACGACTTTGTTAATGGGATGACATGTCACTTACTGTGGAGAAATGCCACCAATACAGACAGGTGTCGAATGGAAATGGTGCCGTTAGGAGGTTTGAGGCGTCTTCCTTATCACTTCTCCTGGCTTCCACCCCTGTCCTCTCCTGTCCTCTCCTGTCCTCTCCTGTCCTCTCCTGTCCTCTCCTGTCTCTCTGTCCTCTCCTGTCCTCTCCTGTCCTCTCCTGTCCTCTCCTGTCCTCTCCTGTCCTCTCCTGTCCTCTCCTGTCCTCTCCTGTCCTCTCCTGTCCTCTCCTGTCCTCTCCTGTCCTCTCCTGTCCTCTCCTGTCCTCTCCTGTCCTCTCCTGTCCTCTCCTGTCCTCTCCTGTCCTCTCCTGTCCTCTCCTGTCCTCTCCTGTCCTCTCCTGTCCTCTCCTGTCCTCTCCTGTCCTCTCCTGTCCTCTCCTGTCCTCCCCTGTGCTCCCCCTCCCCCGCTGAACTGCATCCTCACAGGCAGAAGACACTGGGGCTGCGCACTGAGATGAATTTTGTGGCGCCTCAAAACTCATCTTCCTTATCACTTCTCCTGGCTTCCTCCCCTGCGCTCCCCCTCCCCGCTGAATTCCATCCCAACAGGCAGAAGACACTGGGGCTGCGCACTGAGTGCGCATCGTGCAAGGATGAACCCGCAAGCGCATGTATTGCTGCCCCACCGCATCCCACTCCCCTGCACCTCCCCTGCTGAACTCCACATCTTCACAGGCAGAAGACACTGGGGCTGCGCACTGAGTGTGCGGCATGCAAGGATCGCTCGGTGTGCGGGCAGTTCTGCGGGGACTGCCTGTTCGTGAGGTGAGCACGAAATGAGAGTACATTAGGGGAATGTTGCGACCTTATGCAAAGAACGTGCAATCTTTGTGTGCTTCAGGCGTCCTGTCTACTCAGAGTGAGTGTGCTGTGTGCAAGGATCGTACTGTGTGTCGGCAGTTCTGCGGGGACTGCCTGTTCGTGAGGTGAGTGGGTGTTGTTTGTCACACCCTTAGCGAAAAGAGTACACTCTTCGTGTGCTTCAAGCGTCTTAACAACTCGAAGGGAGTGTGCAGGGTGCAAGCATCGCTCAGTGTGGGGGCTGTTCTGTGGGTATGTCTCTTTGTGAGGCGAGACTATACAAGTTGTGACTGTATGAGGAGGGTTTGTATGAAGTGAAATACGTGGAGAACACAGAAGAGGCACTAGCAAACCCGGAGTGGGAGTGGGAGTTCACAAGGGCCAAGCAAGCAATGTGTCCCTTGTTTATTCCTTTCACTCCCTTGCCCCTCAGGTACGGCGAGAACATAGAGGAGGCGCTAGCAGACCCCACGTGGGAGTGCCCGGTGTGTCGGGACATCTGCAACTGCTCCATCTGCCGGAACCGCAAGGGATGGGGACCCACTGGCCCGCTGTTTCACAAGGTAAGCACTGCCACCACTTGCAGGGTTCAAGGGAAGAGCGTTGGACTGGCCCGCTGTTTCACAAGGTAAGCACTGCCACCACTTGCAGGGTTCAAGGGAAGCAGGGGGGGCACAAAGGGGGCGCTAACAGACCCTGAGTGGTGGGAGTGTCCGGTGTGTGTCGGGACATCTGCAACTGCTGCTCCACTGGCCTGCAACTACTGTCCAGGTACTGCCCTACGCACAAGGTAACACAAACAGCCGTCTGGTTACCCTACAGCCTCTTGCTGTGTTGGGACATTTGCAACTGCTCTATCTGCAGAAACCGCAAGGGATGGGGTCTCACTGGCCCGCTGTTCCATAAGGTAACAATTGGTCTACATAGCGCCACAGCCGTTTGGGGCCCATAAGTGCTCTTGTCTTGTAAGTGTCGTTTCCAACCCTTTCGTCCCTTCTCCCCTACCCTGAGGCGCATCAAGAGACAACTCTTGCGGCACCGCAAATGTCCTGACGGGAAGCCCGGAGGTGTTCCTGTCTCATAGATGCCGTTTCCATAACCCACCCCCTCCTCCCCCGCTCTCCCCTACGCTTTGAGACGTCTCGAGAGTCCAGTCTGGGAGCCCGGAAGTGATCTTGTCTCATAGATGCCGTTTCCATAACCCCCTCCTCCCCACTCCCCCACTCTCCTTGTATGTCCCTCCGTCCCTGCAGGTGTGGGGTGCGGGTTACCAGTCCGTTGCACACTATCTCATGCTCACGAGAATGGTCAAGGGGGGAGAGGGCACAGGGGAGCCGGCGGAGGGGATGCATAGGCGTGGGGAAGAAGAAGATGCAGCAGGAGGGAGTGAGGGAGCCGGAGGAGAGAGTGGGGAGGGAGATGAGGGAGGGAATGAGGAGGAGGGGGGACGGGAGGGGAGTGAGGTCACGTTGATAGAAGAGTGTGCGGATGGGAATGAAAAGTCGCGGAAGAGAAAGCGGGACGTTGAGAGTGCCACGGAGACGAGGGGACGGAAACAGGGACTGGGGAGGAAGCGGAAGGGCATGAATACAAGGGAGGAGGAGGACGACGAGGATGGAGAGGAGGAGGATGAGGAGGGAGAGGAGGAGGAAGACGAGGAGGGAGAGGAGGAGGAGGAGGAAGATGATGTTGTGGAGGTTCAGGTGTGCAGAACGGTGGTGCAAGTTAAAGAGGAGAGGAAGGAGGGGGCGGGTGGGGGAGTTTTGGAGATCGAGTGGACAAAGATGAGAGCAGTGAAGGAGGAGGAGGTGGAGGTGAAGGAGGTGGAGCGAAAAGAGGAAGAAGGCCTAAGACGGACAGGGCAGGTGAAAGTTAAGATGGAAACTGCATCAGCGACCCGAGCGAAGGAGACGGTTGGCGGTCACGGTTGTGGTACCAGTATATGGGGTATTAAGGGAGGGTTGCTTGTAGAGATGGCCACAGGAGCAGGTGCAAGGAAAGATGTGAAGACTTTTGAGGCGCCTCAAAAGGCCACAGGAGCAGGTGCAAGGAGCGAGGTGACAAGAGAAGAAAGTGGGTTGAAGCCAGAAGAAAGTGAGATGAAGCGAGAAAGGGGTATCGTGACAAGGAGAGCCGCAGCAAGACTGGAAGCTGAAGCTGCCAAGTTGAAGGCTGCTCAGGGTCGAGTGCTGAGGTCTCGCATCATTGATGCACCACAGGCAGGGGGGGCAGCAGGAACAGGAGGTGCAGGGGCAGCAGCAGGCAGAGCAGGAGTGGCAGCCAGAGGGAATTCTGGTCAGTGCAAGGGAAAGGGGGTTGCAGCTGCCACTACAGTTCCGGATAATAAAAGGGGGATGAATTCGGGCCTTGAGACAGTAATGAGGAGCGCTGTAAAGGGGATGGGGAAAGGGGGGAGCAGAGCGGAAGAGGAAGAAGATAAGGCACAGCTGAGGCATCTCCAGAAGGAAGAGGAGTATGATAGTGATGACGATGTAATCGAAGTGGTGGTTGCTGGGACAGTCTAAGAATACTTGTACCGTAGTTATTGAGTACGTAATTGTAACTAGTGTGTGGTGTGGGTGTAGTGAGTGGATCTAGTGAGTGGGAGGGAGGGGTGAACATCTGGTCAATGGTCATGGACCCATGGCCTTACTCTCACAGCTTCATCTGGTACATGTTTGGATAGATAGATCTCTCCACACATGTGGATATGAAACTCGAGAATGAAACAAATTATTTGGCTCGTAGCAATGGTATTTTGTTATGTTCAATCATGGAGCACCTGAGGAGCATGGGCTGATTCTTGAGGTGTGGTGGTGTAGTTAATTCAAGTGGAGCCAATTTACCCAAGTGGGCCATAGGAGCTACTGACATATGCAATGCCTTTTTGACCCCTGCGGAAGCATCACAGTCACACCCTTGTTTGTCTGGTAATGCTTAACAGCTGCAGTATAGTATGGGAGTAGCTTCACAAGAGGAGGTTGAAGCAAGAGGAGGTTGAAGCAGGAGGAGGTTGAAGCAAGAGGAGGTTGAAGCAGGAGGAGGTTGAAGCAAGAGGAGGTTGAAGCAAGAGGAGGTTGAAGCAGGAGGTTGAAGCAAGAGGAGGTTGAAGCAGGAGGAGGTTGAAGCAAGAGGAGGTTGAAGCAGGAGGAGGTTGAAGCAAGAGGAGGTTGAAGCAAGAGGAGGTTGAAGCAGGAGGTTCAAGCAGTCTCAGATTGCTTTGGACGAACGACAATAACGGGGCAGGTGGCGTGATTGACACAATAGTCCGACACGCTTCCCAACACAAGTCTGGGAGGGGGAGAGGAGGAAGGGAATGGTAGGGTATTGGAATCGACTAAAGAATAAAGCGGTCACTGATTTCTCGGCCCGCACAACAATAATGGGGCAGGTAGCGTGGTTGACACAAGAGTCCGACATGCTTGCAAGCACAAGTCTGGAGGGGAGGGGAGGGGAGGGAATTAGAAGGGATTGAAGGGGAGGAGAGGGAAAAGTAGGGGAGGGGAGGGGAGTGGGGGAAGGGGGGATCGATGAAAGAGTTGATTCAAGGAGCATAGCACACTGTCAGCAGGTAGCATGTGCACACATGTAAACAACGTATGCTCTACAAGCGCTCCAGATACTTTCCAGATACGGTCCAGATATGCTGCAGTTGTGCTCTCTGCTGCAAGCTCGCTCACCTCTTCACCGCACAGCACCATATCTCACTGGTTCACAGCACTGAAACCCTGTGATCCCATGATGAGCGTGTATGCCTGCATCCTCTCCACCTCGCTGCAGATGCATTCATCATCTCTCTCCACCGCACTGCACCCTCTCAGCCGCACGCTCTCTCACCACTCCACCGCACTGCACCGCACCGTTTCACAGTGCTAAGCCCTCGAGACCCCATGATGAGTGTATGCGCCCTCTCCCTCTCCACCTCGCTGCAAATGCATTCACCACCTCTCGTCACCGCACTGCACCATCGCACTGGACCGCATCTCACCGCTTCGCAGTACTGAGCCCCGTGACCCCATGATGAGCGTGTGAGCCTGCATCTTCTCCACCTCGCTGCAGATTCGTTCATCACCTTTCTTCACCACACTGACTCTGTCTCACCGCTTAACAGCACTGAGTCCCCGTGACCCCGTGATAAGTGTATGCGCCTTCATCCACTCCACCTCGCTGCAGATACGCTCATCACCTCCCTCCACCACATTGCACCAAATCTCACCGCTTCACCTCCCTCCATCCCACCGTTCTACCTCACTGCACCGCATCTCACCGCTTAACAGTGCTAAGTCCTCTTGACCCCATGATGAGCGTATGCGCCTTCATTCTCTCCACCTCGTTGCAGATGCGCTCTCTGGGATCCGCGTCCTGCACTGCCACTATGTCGTATTGGACCTGAGAAAGACGGGATAATGGTATGGTATACATGGAGCGTGAGACAGGAAGCACAGAGTTATCAAGTACGCCCACCCGCCCATCCACCCGCCCATCCACCCGCCCATCCACCCGCCCATCCACCCGCCCATCCACCCGCCCATCCACCCGCCCATCCACCCGCCCATCCACCCGCCCATCCACCCGCTCATCCACCCACCCGCCCACTCACCCATCCACCCGCCCATCCACCCGCCCATCCACCCGCTCATCCACCCACCCATCCACCCTCCCATCCACCCGCCCATCCACCCGCCCATCCACCCGCCCATCCACCCGCCCATCCACCCGCTCATCCACCCGCCCATCCACCCGCCCATCCACCCGCCCATCCACCCGCCCATCCACCCGCCCATCCACCCGCTCATCCACCCACCCGCCCACCCACCCGCCCATCCACCCGCCCATCCACCCGCCCATCCACCCGCCCATCCACCAGCCCATCCACCCGCTCATCCACCCACCCATCCACCCGCCCATCCACCCACCACGGCCCACCCACCAACTCCCCCATCCACCATACTAGACTTCTCAGCTAGCACAGCACACCTACCAACCCACCTTAGCCTGGTCCAGCTGTTGTGACATGTTGCTCACGAATCTCCTCCTCCTTGCAGCAGCATGAACCACTCGTGCTGAGGCCTTGCAGAAGTCAACACAACCCTGCCCACTCGCCCACACACCCACCCATCAACCCACCTTAGCCTGGTCCAGCTGTTGTGACATGTTGCTCACGAATCTCCTCCTCCTTGCAGCAGCATGAACCACTCGTGCTGAGGCCTTGCAGAAGTCAACACAACCCTGCCCATTCGCCCACACACCCACCCATCAACCCACCTTAGCCTGGTCCAGCTGTTGCGACAGGTTGCTCACGAATCTCCTCCTCACCCCAGCGTTGTGCTTCTCAATCACTCGGTCCACCTCTGCCATGGCCTCTGCTGACAGTGTTGAGTCGGCATAGGCTGGGGAGAGAGACATACGGGGGTATGTGGGGTGCACAGGCAAGACACAGCCGAAAGAAACCAGAGAGCAGAGTGACTCTTCCCACACCACAATGGTGTTATGCTTCTCCATCACACGGTCCATCCACCTCTGTCATCGCCTCTGCTGACAGCGTAGAGTCCGCATAGGCTGAACAGAAAGACAAGGGGTTGAGTGGGATGGGGCACAAGGCAAGTCACAGCCATAAGAGGACAGAGGAAAGGTAAATCTTTTCACACTACTCCAACGTTGTGCTTCTCCATCACTCGGTCCACCTCTGCCATCGCCTCTGCTGACAGTGTTGAGTCCGCATAGGCTGGAGGGGTGGATATTTGAGGGCGTGTGGAGCACAGGGGTATAAGAAGCAGTTACGAAACCAGAGTGCAGAGCGACTCTTCCCACACCACGCCAGCGTTGTCCTTGTCAATCACACAGTCGACCTCTGCCATCACCTCTGCTAACAGTGTTGAGTCCGCATAGGCTGGAGGGGTGGATATTTGAGGGCGTGTGGAGCACAGGGGTATAAGAAGCAGTTACGAAACCAGAGTGCAGAGCGACTCTTCCCACACCACGCCAGCGTTGTCCTTGTCAATCACACAGTCGACCTCTGCCATCACCTCTGCTAACAGTGTTGAGTCCGCATAGGCTGGAGGGGTGGATATTTGTGGGCGTGTGGAGCACAGGGGTATAAGAAGCAGTTACGAAACCAGAGTGCAGAGCGACTCTTCCCACACCACGCCAGCGTTGTCCTTGTCAATCACACAGTCGACCTCTGCCATCACCTCTGCTAACAGTGTTGAGTCCGCATAGGCTGGAGGGGTGGATATTTGAGGGCGTGTGGAGCACAGGGGTATAAGAAGCAGTTACGAAACCAGAGTGCAGAGCGACTCTTCCCACACCACGCCAGCGTTGTCCTTGTCAATCACACAGTCGACCTCTGCCATCACCTCTGCTAACAGTGTTGAGTCCGCATAGGCTGGAGGGGTGGATATTTGTGGGCGTGTGGAGCACAGGGGTATAAGAAGCAGTTACGAAACCAGAGTGCAGAGCGACTCTTCCCACACCACGCCAGCGTTGTCCTTGTCAATCACACAGTCGACCTCTGCCATCACCTCTGCTAACAGTGTTGAGTCCGCATAGGCTGGAGGGGTGGATATTTGTGGGCGTGTGGAGTACAGGAGTATAAGAAGCAGTTACGAAACCAGAGTGCAGAGCGACTCTTCCCACACCACGCCAGCGTTGTCCTTGTCAATCACACAGTCGACCTCTGCCATCACCTCTGCTAACAGTGTTGAGTCCGCATAGGCTGGAGGGGTGGATATTTGTGGGCGTGTGGAGCACAGGGGTATAAGAAGCAGTTACGAAACCAGAGTGCAGAGCGACTCTTCCCACACCACGCCAGCGTTGTCCTTGTCAATCACACAGTCGACCTCTGCCATCACCTCTGCTAACAGTGTTGAGTCCGCATAGGCTGGAGGGGTGGATATTTGAGGGCGTGTGGAGCACAGGGGTATAAGAAGCAGTTACGAAACCAGAGTGCAGAGCGACTCTTCCCACACCACGCCAGCGTTGTCCTTGTCAATCACACAGTCGACCTCTGCCATCACCTCTGCTAACAGTGTTGAGTCCGCATAGGCTGGAGGGGTGGATATTTGTGGGCGTGTGGAGCACAGGGGTATAAGAAGCAGTTACGAAACCAGAGTGCAGAGCGACTCTTCCCACACCACGCCAGCGTTGTCCTTGTCAATCACACAGTCGACCTCTGCCATCACCTCTGCTAACAGTGTTGAGTCCGCATAGGCTGGAGGGGTGGATATTTGAGGGCGTGTGGAGCACAGGGGTATAAGAAGCAGTTACGAAACCAGAGTGCAGAGCGACTCTTCCCACACCACGCCAGCGTTGTCCTTGTCAATCACACAGTCGACCTCTGCCATCACCTCTGCTAACAGTGTTGAGTCCGCATAGGCTGGAGGGGTGGATATTTGTGGGCGTGTGGAGCACAGGGGTATAAGAAGCAGTTACGAAACCAGAGTGCAGAGCGACTCTTCCCACACCACGCCACCTTGTCAATCACACAGTCGACCTCTGCCATCACCTCTGCTAACAGTGTTGAGTCCGCATAGGCTGGAGGGGTGGATATTTGAGGGCGTGTGGAGCACAGGGGTATAAGAAGCAGTTACGAAACCAGAGTGCAGAGCGACTCTTCCCACACCACGCCAGCGTTGTCCTTGTCAATCACACAGTCGACCTCTGCCATCACCTCTGCTAACAGTGTTGAGTCCGCATAGGCTGGAGGGGTGGATATTTGTGGGCGTGTGGAGCACAGGGGTATAAGAAGCAGTTACGAAACCAGAGTGCAGAGCGACTCTTCCCACACCACGCCAGCGTTGTCCTTGTCAATCACACAGTCGACCTCTGCCATCACCTCTGCTAACAGTGTTGAGTCCGCATAGGCTGGAGGGGTGGATATTTGAGGGCGTGTGGAGCACAGGGGTATAAGAAGCAGTTACGAAACCAGAGTGCAGAGCGACTCTTCCCACACCACGCCAGCGTTGTCCTTGTCAATCACACAGTCGACCTCTGCCATCACCTCTGCTAACAGTGTTGAGTCCGCATAGGCTGGAGGGGTGGATATTTGTGGGCGTGTGGAGCACAGGGGTATAAGAAGCAGTTACGAAACCAGAGTGCAGAGCGACTCTTCCCACACCACGCCAGCGTTGTCCTTGTCAATCACACAGTCGACCTCTGCCATCACCTCTGCTAACAGTGTTGAGTCCGCATAGGCTGGAGGGGTGGATATTTGTGGGCGTGTGGAGCACAGGGGTATAAGAAGCAGTTACGAAACCAGAGTGCAGAGCGACTCTTCCCACACCACGCCAGCGTTGTCCTTGTCAATCACACAGTCGACCTCTGCCATCACCTCTGCTAACAGTGTTGAGTCCGCATAGGCTGGAGGGGTGGATATTTGTGGGCGTGTGGAGTACAGGAGTATAAGAAGCAGTTACGAAACCAGAGTGCAGAGCGACTCTTCCCACACCACGCCAGCGTTGTCCTTGTCAATCACACAGTCGACCTCTGCCATCACCTCTGCTAACAGTGTTGAGTCCGCATAGGCTGGAGGGGTGGATATTTGTGGGCGTGTGGAGCACAGGGGTATAAGAAGCAGTTACGAAACCAGAGTGCAGAGCGACTCTTCCCACACCACGCCAGCGTTGTCCTTGTCAATCACACAGTCGACCTCTGCCATCACCTCTGCTAACAGTGTTGAGTCCGCATAGGCTGGAGGGGTGGATATTTGAGGGCGTGTGGAGCACAGGGGTATAAGAAGCAGTTACGAAACCAGAGTGCAGAGCGACTCTTCCCACACCACGCCAGCGTTGTCCTTGTCAATCACACAGTCGACCTCTGCCATCACCTCTGCTAACAGTGTTGAGTCCGCATAGGCTGGAGGGGTGGATATTTGTGGGCGTGTGGAGCACAGGGGTATAAGAAGCAGTTACGAAACCAGAGTGCAGAGCGACTCTTCCCACACCACGCCAGCGTTGTCCTTGTCAATCACACAGTCGACCTCTGCCATCACCTCTGCTAACAGTGTTGAGTCCGCATAGGCTGGAGGGGTGGATATTTGAGGGCGTGTGGAGCACAGGGGTATAAGAAGCAGTTACGAAACCAGAGTGCAGAGCGACTCTTCCCACACCACGCCAGCGTTGTCCTTGTCAATCACACAGTCGACCTCTGCCATCACCTCTGCTAACAGTGTTGAGTCCGCATAGGCTGGAGGGGTGGATATTTGTGGGCGTGTGGAGCACAGGGGTATAAGAAGCAGTTACGAAACCAGAGTGCAGAGCGACTCTTCCCACACCACGCCAGCGTTGTCCTTGTCAATCACACAGTCGACCTCTGCCATCACCTCTGCTAACAGTGTTGAGTCCGCATAGGCTGGAGGGGTGGATATTTGTGGGCGTGTGGAGCACAGGGGTATAAGAAGCAGTTACGAAACCAGAGTGCAGAGCGACTCTTCCCACACCACGCCAGCGTTGTCCTTGTCAATCACACAGTCGACCTCTGCCATCACCTCTGCTAACAGTGTTGAGTCCGCATAGGCTGGAGGGGTGGATATTTGAGGGCGTGTGGAGCACAGGGGTATAAGAAGCAGTTACGAAACCAGAGTGCAGAGCGACTCTTCCCACACCACGCCAGCGTTGTCCTTGTCAATCACACAGTCGACCTCTGCCATCACCTCTGCTAACAGTGTTGAGTCCGCATAGGCTGGAGGGGTGGATATTTGTGGGCGTGTGGAGCACAGGGGTATAAGAAGCAGTTACGAAACCAGAGTGCAGAGCGACTCTTCCCACACCACGCCACCTTGTCAATCACACAGTCGACCTCTGCCATCACCTCTGCTAACAGTGTTGAGTCCGCATAGGCTGGAGGGGTGGATATTTGAGGGCGTGTGGAGCACAGGGGTATAAGAAGCAGTTACGAAACCAGAGTGCAGAGCGACTCTTCCCACACCACGCCAGCGTTGTCCTTGTCAATCACACAGTCGACCTCTGCCATCACCTCTGCTAACAGTGTTGAGTCCGCATAGGCTGGAGGGGTGGATATTTGTGGGCGTGTGGAGCACAGGGGTATAAGAAGCAGTTACGAAACCAGAGTGCAGAGCGACTCTTCCCACACCACGCCAGCGTTGTCCTTGTCAATCACACAGTCGACCTCTGCCATCACCTCTGCTAACAGTGTTGAGTCCGCATAGGCTGGAGGGGTGGATATTTGAGGGCGTGTGGAGCACAGGGGTATAAGAAGCAGTTACGAAACCAGAGTGCAGAGCGACTCTTCCCACACCACGCCAGCGTTGTCCTTGTCAATCACACAGTCGACCTCATTTGTGGGCGTGTGGAGTACAGGGGTATAAGAAGCAGTTACGAAACCAGAGTGCAGAGCGACTCTTCCCACACCACGCCAGCGTTGTCCTTGTCAATCACACAGTCGACCTCTGCCATCACCTCTGCTAACAGTGTTGAGTCCGCATAGGCTGGAGGGGTGGATATTTGAGGGCGTGTGGAGCACAGGGGTATAAGAAGCAGTTACGAAACCAGAGTGCAGAGCGACTCTTCCCACACCACGCCAGCGTTGTCCTTGTCAATCACACAGTCGACCTCTGCCATCACCTCTGCTAACAGTGTTGAGTCCGCATAGGCAGAAAAGAAAGACAAGGGGGTGTGTCGGGTGGGGCACACAGGCATAAGACGCAGTTAAACAACAACCGACCGGCAGAGTGACTCTTGCCTTCCCACACCACTCCGCCGTTGTGCTTCTCAATCAGTCGGTCCACCTCTGCAGTTGCCTCTGCTCTGCACAGACCGAGGAGAGAGACGCACGGGGGTGCATGGGGCATACAGGCATAAACAGCCATAGATACAGCTATGTGGCCAGAGGCGCGAAAAGGCATGCAACTAGGCTCCTGCAGCAAACAGGCAAGCATGTAACCATGTAACCAGGCAGCTGATTACCATGTAACCATGTACCGGATTCAACCTTGTCGTCGGCATACCTGCAAAGAGGCAGGGTCCCGATATCCACAACTGGGCACACGTGCAGCAGAGGGACTCCATCGGATAGACGAACACACAATGAACTCAGATGTACCGGAATCAAACATGTGACCGTACCAGCAAAGAGGCCGGGTCCTGATTCGACAATTGGGCGCACATGCAGCAGCGTGACTCGATCGGATGGACGAATGTGGTTCTTGAGGGCCCATGCCACCGCCTTCTCACTGATATGGGGATGTGTGCGGGGGGGATCCGAAGGAAAAGGGAAAAAATGGTTCACGCAAAATGCGTGACTCGGTCTGATGGACGAATGTGGTTCTTGAGCGCCCATGCCACCGCCTTCTCTCCGATATGGAGGAGGGGGGAGGGGAGGGAGACGGGTGAGCAAAAGTAGAGGTAAAAGCATTCAGGCGAAAGGGGGTTCACTCAGCCTGTGTGTGATTCTTGGGGGCCTAGGCTCCTTGGCGACAGTGATGACAGAATTGTTCTTGTGTGGTTCTGTGGGTGCTGTGGGGGACAGATGCTTCTCTGAGGGCGTGCAGGGTAATTATACGGTGCGAAGGTATTGAGGCTTCCCAAGCACGACACACCTGTCAGGGCTAGGGTCCACGGCGATCAGAATGTTCCTGGAAGGTGTGGGCGAGGCTCTCGGCATGTTGACTGTTTGGTGTAGACAGGTCACAGCTCGGTGTAGACAGGTCACAGGTCGGTGTAGACAGGTCACAGGTCGGTGTAGACAGGTCACAGGTCGGTGAAGACAGGTCACAGGTCGGTGTAGACAGGTCTCAGGTCGGTACAGTCAGGTCGGTGCTCTATCCTGACACAGCAGCACAGTGTTCGGAGCGGCACAGCGTTCAGATCGGCACAGTGCTAGCAGTCGTGTTGTAACCGAAAGCAAGGTGCTTCCGAAATGCACAACACTCGGTTCAAATGGCGACGGCAGCTTCAATATGAGCAGCAGTGTCAGCGTCAATGGCAAAATCAGCAGAAGCAGCAGAAGGTCCAGTCGCGGCCAGAAGGGAATGGCAATAGTATAAAAGTGATCACTTTAGTGCCTCGAGGCAGAGAGGTTGCGACGATTAGTGGCGTTGATGTAGCCTGGAGTTCAGTGAGAGGGGGAAAAGGAGGGAAGAAGGGAAATGAAGAATAGATATTGGAAACACATTGAGCTGGATATTGACATTCAGTGAGTTTAAGACATTCAACTAGTTGACGACATTCAGTGAGTTGACGACATTCAGCGAGTTGACGACATTCAGCGAGTCGACGACATTCAGGGCTGACGAAATTCGGCGAGCCTATTAGCCAGGAGCGACAGAGGCATACCAGCAAAATGACTCTTATAGCTTGGGGCGACAGGGTGAATGCAACCGACGGATAACTTATCCGATGTCTTGAAGACGCGGCCGACGAAGTTTTATAGCCTGTGCAAAAGGGCTGGTTCTTGCTGGTTCTAACGACTGAGTGCCTGAAAGTTTATGGAGTAATCAAGATGCTGGTATGGTTCTCGCAGTTCTCTTATCGTCTTTGGGCCTCGGAGGTCCCCCCTCCCTAGAGAGTTCCGCCCTCCAAACCAAAGGTGCTGTTCGCCAGCACCAATATAACTGAAAACGACGGGATAACAACGGGATCAGGAAGGTGAATCTCGCCTTCCTGATCCCGTCAGTTAGAGTTCGTTAACCTCCGTCAGCTTGGTCAGCCCGTGAAAAATGTGCCGAGCCTCACCAACCGTCCAAACCAATTAACAAAGTGGGCGTCTGGCGAACGCCCACTTTTGTAAGAACACCGACTTTTACGTTTCGACGGCATATGGAAGCGGGGACGAAACTTCCTCCCCAGGCAAAACACCATCCCCTTGCAATGCCATCGTCATGCCGCGTTTTTCGAAGCACAGCGGGGGCACAGCGGTGGCACCGCGGACGCATTGCTGTGCAGGGGAACCCTCGAACAAGCCTTCATTTTGACACAGGGGGGTTCGGAAAACCCTGAGGGCGTGTAACTTTTTTCCGAACCGTCGTCCGGACTTTGGGCCGTTCGGACGACCCGTGTGGTTACATTTTCGTCAAAGCTCGTTAGTTTTTTCGCAACATATTTGGCGACGTCGTATAGGTACGGACGGTGTCTGACACTTTTGCAGGTTTTTGGCGCGTGGAAATTGTCCGTAAAGTGTCCGAAGTGAAATCGGACCGTCCGACTCAGCCTTGCTGTCACTGGCGCGCGAAAATATTGTACAGTGGCACAGGCGAGTCGCATGCATTTGTGTATTACAATAGCGAGTGCTGAGTAGCACTCGTAACCGGTCGTATGTCGCGGAACATTTGGAAACACAAAAGTTCCACTTTTGAAGTACGGACGGGCCTATGTCCGGACCAAAGGCCCCAGATGTCCGTACCGAGGCTGTCCGGTCGCTTTGGGGGCAAGGTCCGGACATTCGCCGGTTCGGAAAAAAGTTACACGCCCTAAAGGTGTTTGTGGAATGTGAGTTGTGTCTGGAACTGAGCGCGGGGTGGGGGGAGTTGTGTTTGAGCGGGGTGCGTTTTATTTGCGTTTTTTTACCCACGCTGAGCATTTTTTTGTCAGCGGGCAGCAGGTGGGTCAGTGATGTGCAAATTTAAGGCCATTGGGGGGAAGGTGGGGATGGACCTTCCCGACGCGGTTGCGAAATTTCGCCTTTTGGGCGCGCGTAGTTTCTCGGGCGGCATTTCGCCCAAACCTCGGAGGAGGGTTCCACCCCCGTTTCCATATGCGGTCACGACGCTGATGCCGTCGTTTTCAATTTAAAAAACGATGTGCTGGCGAACAGCACCAAAGCATCCACTCGTCTTGGTCGCACTTCGTGGTATCCTCGCGGGTGCATCCTCCTTGCTGGTGGCGGTTGGGTCAATCTGCGCTGGCCTGGGGAAATGAATTCGCGAATTGCGCGATACGACGATCGAAATCTGTATCCTGATGCGAAAAACCTGCGACCAGGCTACGCCATTTTCGTCTGCAGACGTGGCACGCATGTCAGCGATATTTTGGCCTACGAATCTCATCACCTGGTTACGACCATTTAAAGCCGGCAGCCCAAATTGCACAAGTTTTAAAAGGTTGACGCGAGGGGGTTTTTGTGGTGAGGGTTTTGGCGAAAGATTCCGATTTCGCTTTTTTCGTTTTTTTCGCCAAACCCAGCCCGCCCTCGTATTTCGCCCTGGGGGTTGGTTCAGTTCCCAAAAGTCCCAAATTGCAGGCACGCTTTTCTTCAAACCTTGAAAACACTAGTTCGTCAAGTTTTAAAAGCTTGACCCGCGCGGCCCGCAATTTGGGACTCGGGCTTTAATAAAACTTCAAAACTTAGAATCTCATCACCGTAGTCCGATGACTCGGTAAGGGAACAAAGCTACATCACAACGATCTAGTGTAAATAATAAATACTTCTATTTATTTGTGACAGCATCTTCTTGAGAGGGATGGAAGAGATAGTGGCCACCTGCACAGGGCGTACAACATTAGATGGTCAAGAAACAAACATATCCTTTAACAGGGCACTGTGAAAGCCGAACCTCCTATTATGAATGGACGAGAAACCACGTACTTGATAGAAATCTAACACCAATCAATCACAAGACTCACTTGTTTCAAAAGTCATGGAGCTTCGCGTCGCACTCATCCAAGCCCAGGGTAATGGGCATTCTGTATCTCCCTTATAAGCATCTCCTTTTCCTCCTCAAAATCTTCCTCCTCTGTGGTTTGAAGGGGGAGGAGATGGGAAAAGGGATGAGCACTGCGTGAAGCAACAAGAAAAAGGATGGTAATAGGCGGGTGGATGGGAAGAGAGTAAACATTGGTGAAAAGAACTCAAAGGATGTGACGATCAGGAACCAAACCACCTTGTGTTAAAAGTACGAAAGAAAAAAGGATTGCTCAACAGGCCACAGAACACGCACGTCTGCCTATCACCTTAGAGCACACAATCTTGTCAATACCTAAGCACATGCACCTTTGTCAATCTCAGCCATGCGGACTGGGCGAGCTGCAGTCGGGAAGTCACTTTTAACAAAAGACAGTAGTACTAATCCGTATGTTGTACCCTGTTAAGTGCCAAGAAAATCAAGAAACCGAACTATCGAATCCACTAAAGATATTAAAACGCAAACATGTTTTGGCTGACTGGGACAGGGCCCACGTCAAACCTTCATCACCTTAGAGCACACAATTTTGTCAAATGCCTTAGCACATGCACCTTTGTCAATCTCAAAGTCCTTGAGAAACTTGACCGTCTTCTCCTTGTTGCGCTCCAACTGAAGCACATACCATCTTAAATGCGCACCACCTTCGCACACGGACCTTTGTCGATCTCAAAGTCCTTGAGAAACTTCACCATCTTCTCCTTGTTGCGCACCAGCAGAGTGTTTCCGCGCACCTCCTTAACCCACACCATCCTAAACACCACCAACTCAAGCACACGCCACGTTAAGCACACACTGTCTCAAACACACACCTTTGTCAATCTCAAAGTCCTTGAGGAATTTGACCATCTTCTCCTTGTTGTGCGCCAGCAGAGTGTTTGTGCGCACCACCACATACCTTTACCACCTTACCTCAAGCACGCACCTTTGTCAATCTCAAAGTCCTTGAGGAATTTGACCATCTTCTCCTTGTTGTGCGCCAGCAGAGTGTTTGTGCGCACCACCACATACCTTTACCACCTTACCTCAAGCACGCACCTTTGTCAATCTCAAAGTCCTTGAGGAATTTGACTATCTTCTCCTTGTTGTGCGCCAGCAGAGTGTTTGTGCGCACCACCACATACCTTTACCACCTCACCTCAACCACGCACCTTTGTCAATCTCAAAGTCCTTGAGGAATTTGACCATCTTCTCCTTGTTGCGAGCCAGCAGCTTCACAATCTTCTCGGGCTTCCTCGGATTTGCCACAAAGATCTGCGCGGGATGTTTGGTTCAAGCCATCAGGAGCGAGGCAGCAAAGAGAAGCAAAGAGATGTTCAATATGTATGGTAGTGGTGAGTTGACTTTTGAGTCGACTCAAAAGTCTTCTCGGGCTTCCTCGGATTTGCCACAAAGATCTGCGTGGGATGTTTGGTTCAAGCCATCAGGAGCGAGGCAGCAAAGAGAAGCAAAGAGATGTTCAATATGTATGGTAGTGGTGAGTTGACTTTTGAGTCGACTCAAAAGTCTTCTCGGGCTTCCTCGGATTTGCCACAAAGATCTGCGCGGGATGTTTGGTTCAAGCCATCAGGAGCGAGGCAGCAAAGAGAAGCAAAGAGATGTTCAATATGTATGGGAGTGGTGAGGTGACTTTTGAGTCGACTCAAAAGTCTTCTCGGGCTTCCTCGGATTTGCCACAAAGATCTGCGCGGGATGTTTGGTTCAAGCCATCAGGAGCGAGGCAGCAAAGAGAAGCAAAGAGATATTCAATATGTATGGTAGTGGTGTGTGAGTTAGAAACAGTAGGTTGCACCGTGTGTTGACACAGAACGGAAGGGGCCATGCAGGAAACGTGCGTGCTGGACAGCAATGATGGACAGCAATGATGGACAGCAACGATGGACAGCAACGATGGACAGCAACGATGGACAGCAACGATGGACAGCAACGATGGACAGCAACGATGGACAGCAACGATGGACAGCAACGATGGACAGCAACGATGGACAGCAACGATGGACAGCAACGATGGACAGCAACGATGGACAGCAACGATGGACAGCAACGATGGACAGCAATGATGGAGGGGACAGCAATGATGGAGGGGACAGCAATGATGGAGGGGACAGCAATGATGGAGGGGACAGCAATGATGGAGGGGACAGCAATGATGAAGGGGACTGCAATGATGGAGGGGACAGCAATGATGGAGGGGACAGCAATGATGGAGGGGACAGCAATGATGGAGGGGACAGCAATGATGGAGGGGACAGCAATGATGGAGGGGACAGCAATGATGGAGAAACAGGGAACCAGCAGGCAGGGAAGCAGTGCTGGGGCGTTGTGTTTCAGCCAAGGAGATAAGAATGAGTTTAGATTTGAAGGAAAGGGGGGAAGGAGGGGGTACCTTAAATACATGGAAGGCCTCATACTGGATGGCTCTGCTGGGGTCCTGATGGTGGGTGGGGTGTGGTGGAGCGTGGTGGAGCAGTTATGACATATAAGAACAAATGGAGATGCGTGAGACAAGGATAAAGCGAATGCAGGAAGTTTGGCCTCAAAACAATCGATGTGGATGCGCGAGTAATAACCACTGTCGAGGGCACCAAAGAGTCATCATCGACTTGAAGTTGTGTGTTCTTGAGCCTTTTGATGTTACAAAGCCTTGGTTGGGCAGCCCATGTGTGTTCTTCTGACAAAATGATTACCTTAATGAGAGTCATCATAATCTTGAAATTGTGTGCCTCTCCAATGTATCGCATCATCACTTGCATGTTGGCCCGGTCCAACAATAGCTCGCCCAAAAGCTGGTGTTCAGGGGCAGGCAGGAAAGAGTGACAAGGGATAAAGCTGAGGCTACTCCAAAGGTGCGATGTATCGATTCATCATTTGCACGTTCGCCCAGTCTACAGCAGCTGATGGGAGTGGATGAGACTGGGCATTAGTGTGTGGGCAGGTGGGGGTGAGTTTGGGCATTAGTGTGTCGGCAGGTGGGGGTGTATGGGCAGGTGGGGGTTTGTGGGCAGGTGGGGGTTTGTGGGCAGGTGGGGGTGTGTGGGCAGGTGGGGGTGTGTGGGCAGGCGGGGGTGTGTGGGCAGGTGGGAGTGTGTGGGCAGAGAGCAAGAGGGAGATGAGGAGAGAGTGGACTGGTTAACCGCTTGGCAAATTATCTGTCTTTCAGGCAACACACCTTGATTGCTTGTCGTCTCGTCACATAGTTGTCCGAGTTGAGCAGCAGATCAAAGCGCTTGAAGAACTGAAGAGCATTGGTGGTGATGGGGTGATGGGAGTGTGGGTGGGAGCATGGCACATGTAAGAGATTCGAGGGATCATGCCATCACAGTGTCACATAGTTGTCCGAGTTGAGCAGCAGATCAAAGCGCTTGAAGAACTGAAGTGCCCATGGGGCCATTGGTCATGGGGTAATGGGGTGATGGCATCATAAGGTGATGGGGACATGGGTTAATGGGGACATGAAATGATGGGGTGATGTGATGGAATCATGGGGTGATGGGGTAATGAGGTGATGGCATCATAAGGTGAAGGGGACATGGATTGATGGGGTGATGGAATCATCGGATGATGGAATTATGTGATCATCAGAAACTCTGCTGCCACAGACGGATGCCATGCCAAGGCCACAGCCTTTTGAGGCGCCTCAAAAGTCTGCTGCCACAGACGGATGCCAAGGCCACAGCCCACACACCCCTTCCTCCCCCACCACCCCCCAAACCCCCTCCCCCCCCCCCCCCCCCCCCCCCCCTCCCTCCCTCTTCCCCCCCCCCCCCCCCCTTTGTTTTCCCGCTCATCCTCGTGAAAACTCACTACACTACTCCCCACCCCTCCCTCCTCCCCCTTACATACATCCGTTCACCCCCCCTTCCCGTCCCCCGTACATACATCCTCGAAGTTGGTCATCAGAAACTCTGCTGCCACAGCCGGATGTTGCTTCAACAGGTCCTGCTCATCCCGTGGGGGGATGGGATGGGAAAGGCGAGGGGGGGGCGGAGGGGGAGGGGGATGGGAGGGCAAGGGAGAGCGCGAGGTTGTGGCGAGTGACTTTTGAGACGTCCCTAAACTCTGCTGCCACCGCCGGATGCTGGTTCAGCAGGTCCTGCTCAGCCCGTGGGGGGATGGGATGGGAGGCGAGGGGGCGCGGGAGGAGGAGGGTCGGGATGAGAAAAGTGTGAGCATGAGGATGGAATGGCATGGAACCTGCGAATTTCAAAGAGGTTGCTAGGCTTGCTGAACGGACTTGCTGGGATGCCACAGCTGCATGCTGCTTCATCAGGTCCTGCTCAGCTCGTGGGGGGATGGGATGGGATGGGAGGGCGAGGGCGAGGGCGAGGGCGAGGGCGAGGGGCGAGATGTGAGAATCTTGGCCGTGAATGTGGAATGGAATGGAATGGAATGGAATGGAATGGAATGGAATGGAATGGAATGGAATGGAATGGAATGGAATGGAATGGAATGGAATGGAATGGAATGGAATGGAATGGAATGGATGCTGAGAAGCTTTCTAGGACTGCACGGATGACTTTGAAAAAGAGGGTGCTAGGTTTGCTGCAGGGATGCTAGGCCTTGCTAGGATGTTCCGGCATAAGGTGCCTCACATCAGATCAGATCAGGGCATTAAGTATCGGGCGGGTGGATGGTGTGGTGGGTCGCCGTGACTGTACCTTGAGAGTGAGAAAGGCGTCAGAGGCAATGTCAAATCTCTGCAAGTCACAAGTGAGCTGCTGTGCAGTGAATAGGACTTAACCTAATGCACCCACCTAACGGCCTCAGCATCACCTGCTGGGGTTGCTTGCACATCGCACCTTGAGGGTGAGAAAGGCGTCAGAGGCAATGTCAAAGTTCTGCAAGTCACAGGGTGGGTGCTGCTGTGACGCTATAGGGACCTAAGGGGCACATTGCTGGGTATTGCTGCTGGGTGGATGGTGACTGTAAGTCACAGGGTACCGATGTTCTTAAGGCCCACATCACCAGCTGGAGTTGCTTGCACATCGCACCTTGAGGGTGAGAAAGGCGTCAGAGGCAATGTCAAAGTTGTGCAGGTCACAGTGTGCTGTGGTGCGATGCGATAGGACCCGGTCTGAGAGGAGCTGTAGGGAGGGCCTACAGTAACGCAGCACTGGGTTTTGAATAACTCACCTTGAGGGTGAGAAAGGCGTCAGAGGCAATGTCAAAGTTGTGCAAGTCACAGTGTGCTGTGGTGCGATAGGACCCGGTCTGAGAGGAGCTGTAAGGCCTACAGTAACGCAGCACTGGGTTTTGAATAACTCACCTTGAGGGTGAGAAAGGCGTCAGAGGCAATGTCAAAGTTGTGCAGGTCACAGTGTGTCGTGGTGCGATAGGACCCAGTCTGAGAGGAGCTGTAGGGCCTACAGTAACGCAGCACTGGGTTTTGAATAACTCACCTTGAGGGTGAGGAAAGCGTCAGAGGCAATGTCAAAGTTGTACAAGTCACAGTGTGTCGTGGTGCGATAGGACCCAGTCTGAGAGGAGCTGTAGGGCCTACAGTAACGCAGCACTGGGTTTTGAATAACTCACCTTGAGGGTGAGGAAAGCGTCAGAGGCAATGTCAAAGTTGTGCAAGTCACAGTGTGCCGTGGTGCGATAGGACCCAGTCTGAGAGGAGCTGTAGGGCCTACAGTAACGCAGCACTGGGTTTTGAATAACTCACCTTGAGGGTGAGGAAAGCGTCAGAGGCAATGTCGAAGTTGTGCAGGTCACAGTGTGTCGTGGTGCGATAGGACCCAGTCTGAGAGGAGCTGTAGGGCCTACAGTAACGCAGCACTGGGTTTTGAATAACTCACCTTGAGGGTGAGAAAGGCGTCAGAGGCAATGTCAAAGTTGTGCAGGTCACAGTGTGTCGTGGTGCGATAGGACCCAGTCTGAGAGGAGCTGTAGGGCCTACAGTAACGCAGCACTGGGTTTTGAATAACTCACCTTGAGGGTGAGGAAAGCGTCAGAGGCAATGTCAAAGTTGTACAAGTCACAGTGTGTCGCGGTGCGATAGGACCCAGTCTGAGAGGAGCTGTAGGGCCTACAGTAACGCAGCACTGGGTTTTGAATAACTCACCTTGAGGGTGAGGAAAGCGTCAGAGGCAATGTCAAAGTTGTGCAAGTCTCAGTGTGCCGTGGTGCGATAGGACCCAGTCTGAGAGGAGCTGTAGGGCCTACAGTAACGCAGCACTGGGTTTTGAATAACTCACCTTGAGGGTGAGGAAAGCGTCAGAGGCAATGTCAAAGTTCTGCAAGTCACAGCCGCCCATGATGACATCCAGATTCGAGAACTGCAGCGTGTGGCTGGGAGGAGGCAGAAGGGAAGGAGGGGGCGTGGAGGAGTTGTGGAGGAGAAGGGAAGGGGACAGAGCAACCAGAGTTGAGTTGGACACAACCGCCCATGATGACATCCAGATTCGAGAATTGCAGCGTGTGGCTGGGAGGGCAGCACAGGCGGAAGGGGCGACGGGGGGGGAGGGAGGGGAGGGGGTTGAGATGTGGAGGGGGAGGCAAGGGAGGAGATCAGAGTCCTGCAGGTCTCAGCTGCCCATGATGACGTCCAGATTCGAGAACTGCAGTGGGTGACTGGGAGGGCAACTGGGGTGCATGAAAGTCAAATAGGGTGCAAGGAGGTCAGGTCAGGTCAGATAGGGTGCAAGTAGAGCAAAAGTGGTGCAAGGAGGTCAAAGCGGTACAAAGAAGATATGTGGATTGCAGGGAGACGGCAGGTACACCCTCTTGCACTCCTTCCGTTCTACCACCCCTTCCCTTCTACCACCCCTTCCCTTCTACCACTCCTTCCCTTTTACCACCCCTTCCCTTCTACCACTCCTTCCCTTTTACTACCCCTTCCCTTCTACCACTCCTTCCCTTTTACTACCCCTTCCCTTCTACCACTCCTTCCCTTTTACCACCCCTTCCCTTCTACTACTCCTGTTCCCCCACCCCTTGTCCAGCCCCCTCGCCACCACCCAGGCAGGCACCCCACCACCACTCCTCAGAACGCCTTCCAGTCACTCTCTGTTCTTTCTTCCCCCTCCACACCGTTCTATGCCTCTCCACACCTCCCCAAACCTCTCTACCTGACAAGTTTAGGTGAGCGCAGGCATTCCCTCAGCATGAGGCCCGAATTCTGAGCAATGTCCTTCTGCTTGTAGCTGGATGGATGGGGGAGGGGGGAGGGGAGAAAGGGAGGAAGGGGGTGGAGAAGAGAGGGGGAGGGGAATACAAGAGCATGCATTCCCTCAGCATGAGGCCCGAATTTTGAGCAATGTCCTTCTGCTTGTAGCTGGATGGGGGAGGGGAGAAAGGGGGGAGGGAGGATAGTAAGCGAGTATGAAGGAAGTGACTGGACGAAGGGGGAGAGTGGAATGAATTGGCAAGAACATTCTTAACATGCAACCCTGTATAAGCTTATCCACCAGCTCCATATGCCTCTTTACACACTATCCACTCTCTTTCCACATCCCCACTACAAGCCCATCTAATTCACTAAAAGCCCCTCTGACTCACCCGCGTACAAGCTTATCTACCAGCTCCGTATGCCTCTCCACAAACTCCAACGCCACTGCCGGTCCCTCCTCCTCCTCTTCCTCCTGAGGCGCTCCCTTCTGTGCTCCCCCGCCCTCCCCTCCCTCCTCCTCCTCCTCCTCATCCTCCTCCTCCTCATCCGCCTTTGGTCGTCGTCTCTTCCCCCCGTGTGCAAGGAGGTACGTCCACACCAGCACCATCTCCTTGCGAGCCTGATGGCAAAAGGAGTTGCAGTTATCGCAGAGATTGCAGGGAATGCAGGGATAGCAGCCACCGATGCACTTCTCACACAACCAGTACCATCATTACGAAGACTACACTACAACACACTCATCTCAATACAGTCACACACTCACTCGTTACAGCCACGCATTCACTACAGGCACGCACTCATTTCAATCACGCGACACGACACCATGACTGAGTCTCTCCGCTACAGCCGCCGCTACAGCCTCGCGATTGGGCATGTGTTTGCACTCACAACACAACACGAGCACAACGCACCTCCCAGTCAAAGACAGGCAGACGCGACACCAGCAGCGGCAGCAGGTCACACTTGACCGACTCCGCTACAGCCGCCGCCACAGCCTCTTTATTGGGCGGCGCGTCCAGGTCGCCTATGAGCAGCACTCGCACTGTCACGAGGCTCTTCAGCACCTCCTCTGCACTCTGTGGTGTGGGAAAGAAGGGGAAACAACACGTGGATGAGGAAGCGAACTGTGCTGACATGATTGGTCGGCGCGTCCAGGTCGCCTATCAGCAGCACGCGCACTGTCACGAGGCTGTTCAGCACCTGCTCTGCACTCTGTCGCATAATTTCCACAGGAAAGGGGGCAGTGGTAAAAGGGGGGAGTTGCATTCGCGTCCAGGTCGCCTATCAGCAGCACTCGCACTGTCACGAGGCTTTTCAGCACCTGCTCTGCACTCTGTGGTGTGGGTGGGAGTATCACAGCAACGTCAATGAGGCATTAAAGATTGGACTTGTGTGCGTAGAAAAGGCTGTGGAAAAGGCTATGGTTGTGTGCGTAGAAAAGGCTGTGGTTATGCTGCACTCGCGTCGCACGGCTCCCATTGCGACAGTTTCGTCGCACCATTCGTCGTCATTGCAAAGCTAACTTTGCGACACTCTGCAATGCGACATTCCCATAGTGACATTCGAATTGCGGCATTTCGCATTGCGACGTTACCGTTGCGACGCTCCCATTGCGAAACTTCATTCGTCGCCGTCGCCATGCAGTGGTCGCACGGAAGCACCCCATCAGTAGATTGTCACTATTAGTACTGTTGCACCCACCTTATCATCTCGAGGAAGCGACTGCAGCCCATCCGCGAGCGCTCGTACAATCTCGGCTGGCGTCTTAGGTTTCGACATAAAGCCGAACATGGCGACAAGCGCTGCCGGCTCTAACCACCTGCCTCACGGCTAAATGCTGCGGAACTCGCTCACACGCGTCGCACGTTCGCTAACACTCCGAAAGCTAACGAAATGTAACTCGCTACTGGGTGACGACTCTCTGAATACCAATGGCAAGGGATTGGGTGGGGGGAATGTGGTCGTATGGGATGAAACACTACAAGTACAACGGTCACCGCGGGATGGAAGCAGTGCAGGCAGCATGTATGGTTCTCTTGCAGCAACTGGGGAGGGGTAGTTCGTCTGGTGGATGTGTAGGTAGGACAATTTCTAGGCGAGATTTTATGCTCGTTTCGGTTGTACGGAAGGATAACGCGAGCAAACATACCGCTCCGTCTTGTATCGAAATCTAGCCGCTTTGCTGTGTGTGAGCACAACAGAAAGTGCCAGGTCATTTCAGATTAAGCTGACGTGGCAAGGCTGGTTACCTTGTGTAGCAGTCCATTAGTTTCAATATCTTCACTAATGATCTCAAATCGAATGGTACAATGTGGTGGCAGCATTATAATTCGTATAACAAAATATTTGAGAAAACTACATCTCATGAATCTGCACAGGGGAACCATCACTTCATTAATAATAAAAACTCTCATGATCCATACTCTCATATTGATTTCACTTTCCTTGGAGATCATACGTAGTGGTCATAAAGATTTCCCGAGTCTGTCATACACGTTATACCTGATCGATGACACTCCCAATGTGTCCAATGTGCCTCCTTGCTTACCTCATTCTCACCAGCACTTCCACATCCTTCTGTCAGTCACATCACTAGGAATTTCACTCGTTTGAACAAACTGTGGTCAGTCGCTCTCGCCTTAATCTCCTGAGACGCGGTAGTTTCCATGTAAAGTGGTGCACTCTTGGGTCAGTTAGATAGCTCTGTTTGTGTGTTTATTCATACCTTCGATCAATCCGCGCTAGAAAACAATCCCTTTGTCTCCAATGGCATCATCAGCAACGAGCAATTCAACGGCTGTAGCAGAGTGTGCGTCGGTTGTAGCAGAGGCAGCAGTGCAGCTGCTGCCGGCTGTAGCAGAGATGGGTGTAGCCGGCATCGTCTACATGGCGGCTGCGTCCTCCGCTCAGGTCAGTAGTCCTCCGCGAATTTCGGCTGTAACGAACCCCGCAGTTGCTAATCCCGCCTGTAGCGAACCCCGATTGAAATATAGCCAAGGGACAGTGCACCGGCTGTGTACGTAGCGTCTCATTCATCTAATTTAAGGCCGCCACATCTCTAGATTCCGTGGCGTATATGTGTTTCCACGGCAACAGCCCCATCCGCAACATCCCTTCTCTCCCTCCTTAACCTCTTCCCCCCACCCCACCCACCCCTTTCCCCTCCCCCCTCTTCGCACCCCACGCGCATCCTCACCTTGGTTCTTTCCGCTTCAAACCCCCCTCTCCACCCGTTCCCGTTATAAGCATGTTGGCATGGTATGCAGAGTGTCCTGCGCCTCGCCCGTCTCCTCCTCTCTTCTCGGCGCTCTCTGCATCGCCGCTGGCTCGCTTGCCTCCGCGCAGGTATTCAAGCGACGCTTGAAACCCCTCTTGCATAAGGGGTATGCATAGGCTGCATGTGTCTCCTCCGCGCCCCTTTCTCCGTCTCCTCCCCTCTCATCGGTGCTCTCTGCATCGCCGCTGGCTCGCTTGCCTCCGCGCAGGTGAGGCTCGGCAGGGAGGCTCGGCAGTGAGGCTCGGCAGTGAGGCTTAAGTTTAATTCAGCAGCAATGCTTTCACCAATCAGAGTGGGTAGGGCAGACATAGTTGGTGGGGGGTATCTGGATTCATCCCGTTCCATCCCATCCTATCACCTCCCATCTTAATCCGTTCCCTCCCCTCCCCTCCCCTCCCCTCCCCTCCCCTCCCCTCCCCTCCTCTCCCCTCCCCTCCCCTCTCCTCCCCTCCCCTCCCATCCCATCCCATTCCCGACCCAACCCATCCCACCCCACCGCATCCCACTCCTCCGCATTCCACCACTCCTGCTGCGTGCAGGCCTCACAGGTGGTGCACGCAGCCTTTCACCCATCTCAACAACAACAACCATCTCACCAGCCCACTGCCCCATTCAAGCAGCAACCACGCCAAGTCATCAGCAGTAGCAACAGCAGTGGCAGCAGTCAGCATGGCAGCGGTCAGCAGGGCGCAAGGGGGACGACGCACGGCTTGTGGGGGCTGTGGACCGGCAGTAGCAGCAGCGACAATGCCAAAATCAGCAGCAGAAGCAGCAGCAGCAGCGGCGGCACCGGCGGCATTAGCGGCAATAGCAGCAGCAGTGGCGACAGCTTCTTAGGTGTCAGTGACAGCATGGAGAGGGCGCAGAGGGGACTGGCACACATGAGAATGCGGGCGACAGATGAGCTGGCGCACCATGATTGGCCGATCTTGTCCCCCAGGCAAGCAGCAGCACACGTGGTGGTGGGACTGCTGGCGTTCAAGGTGGGTTTGTCGCACAAAGTGGGGAATGAGCTGTCAAATCTGGATTGGCCGAGCCTCTCCAGTGTGGACCAGTGGCCTAGCATGTCCCCTAGGCGAGTACCAGCGCATGTGGTGGTGGGACGGGACTGCTTACCTTTAAGGTGCGTGTGCTGTGCATGTGGAATGGAGATGCTAGGAGGCCGATTCTGCAACATCATGCCCAGCCACATCCCTCTTATTCCCACCCCTACCGCATTAAACGTTACCTCACACACCTCCACCCCGCCCCCCCACCCTCCAAGATGCTAGGTGGTCGTTTCTGCAACCTCATGCCCAGCGACGTCTCTCTTGTTCTCACCCTTACCGCACTAAACCTTACTTCAAACACCTCCACCCCACACCCGCACCCTCACATCCCTGTCTTTCCCATCAATACCTCTCACCCCCACCCCACCCTCCAAGATGCTAGGTGGTCGTTTCTGCAACCTCATGCCCAGCGACGTGCAGAAGCGAGGTGCCTTCGCCTCTTTCTCCCTGCCAGGTGCGTGGGGTGGGACGCTCAGGTACGCCCTGCCAGGTGCGTGGGGTGGGACGCTCAGGTACGCCCTGCCAGGTGCGTGGGGTGGGACGCTCAGGTACGCCCTGCCAGGTGCGTGGGGTGGGACGCTCAGGTACGCCCTGCCAGGTGCGTGGGGTGGGACGCTCAGGTACGCCCTGCCAGGTGCGTGGGGTGGGACGCTCAGGTACGCCCTGCCAGGTGCGTGGGGTGGGACGCTCAGGTACGCCCTGCCAGGTGCGTGGGGTGGGACGCTCAGGTACGCCCTGCCAGGTGCGTGGGGTGGGACGCTCAGGTACGCCCTGCCAGGTGCGTGTGTGGTGGGCGCACTTGCAAGTGTAAAAAACACACCCTGTCAGCTACTCCCAGTCAGGTACTCCCAGTCAGGTACTCCCAGTCAGGTACTCCCAGTCAGGTACAGGTACGACCACCCCACACACCCCCGAACTCCAAGATGCTAGGTGGTCGTTTCTGCAACCTCATGCCCAGCGACGTGCAGAAGTGCGGCGCCTTCGCCTCCTTCTCCCTGCCAGGTACGCCCTGCCAGGTACGCCCTGCCAGGTACGCCCTGCCAGGTACGTGTGCTAACCCCTCACTCACAAGTTAAGTACCCACCCTGCCAGTTACGCCCTCCTACCAGGTGGGGGCAGTCACAACGTGAGTGATTGCTCACGGCCCACCCTTTACTGCGTGTTCTTCAACGGTGTGCGTGCGGTGGGCACTCGCGTTTTTTGAGACGTCTCACTTTGTTCTTGAGTTTTGAGACGTCTCAAAGCCTGTACTGTGTGTTCTTCAATGGTGGGCGGCGGTGGGCAGGGCACTCACGTTGTGAGCGGAGAGTGCCCAGTGCCCGCCACTGTGGGAAAAGACAAGGCAAGACAACCAGTTTCCCACTTTCCCTACCAGTCTCCCTTTTTCTGATTCGAACCCCCTCCGTGCAGCCAAGGGCAGCAAGTACGCCACAGGGAACTCACGGGGCTGATCAAGGACCTTATTCATCGCTACGGCTGCCACCACTGCAACAGAAAAGCCTTTCCTTTTCCTCTATCCTTCCCCCCCTCCCACCCTCCGCGCAGCCAAGGGCAGCAAGTACGCCACAGGGAACTCACGGGGGCTGATCAAGGACCTGTTCCATCGCTACGGCTGCCACCACTGCGGGACAAGGCGGGGTGACTGGTGAGTGAGTGCTGAGTGTGTACTTTTGCTGCTGTTCTTGTCAGGGGGCAGACTCGTGTGTTGCTTGAGAGGATTTACGGGGGCTGATCCAGTACCTGTTCCATCGCTTCGGCTGCCACCATTGTGGGACAAGGCGGGGAGGCTGGTGAGCGTTGCGGAGGATGGTACCTTTTTCCTGCTTGTTGCGATTGGGGGGAGATAGGGCATGGTGTGGGGTGGGTTTGTTTGTGTTAGAATGCTGCAAACGGCCCATGCGGAAATGACTTATATCAATTCCTGTCTTCTTTCTCTATCCCTGTGCTCTCTCCTGTCCTCCCCTTCCAGCAGATCAGACCACATTCCCACCAACCGGGACGTGCATGGCAGCATGGGGCCAAATGCCACACTCTCGAGCATCCAATCATACCCCTCCACGCCTGCTCCCTATACTCTCTATCTCCTCTTCCTGCCCCCCCTCTGTCCTCCTTCCCAGCATATCGGACCACATTCCCACTAACCGGGACGTGCACGGGGCTAGATGGCTCAAACGGTCCAAGCAAATCAACTCTTCACCTGCCTCTTCCACAGCTGTTCCTACTACCACCGCCGCCACTGCTACCACTGCTACCACTACAAGCACTGCAGCCACTGCCACCACTGCCACCACTGCCACCACTGCAGCCACTGCAGCCACTGCAGCTTCCGAAGCCTCGAAGAAACCTACATCCTGGCCTGCCAAGATAATGCCCCTGGGCTTGCTGCGATTGTTCCGGTCTTCAGCAGCAGCAGTCCAAGGAGCAGGAGCAGCAGCAGCAGCAGGCGCAGCCCATACCACGCCGGC